TCCTCATTAATGGACAAATACTTTAGTACAAAACATAATTTAAAGCAGTGTAAGGGAGATAAATCAAATACATCATTGAAATTATCTCCCTTACACTGCTTTTAAATTATGTATAAAGTAATGGTTAATGAACAATTAAGATAATTTAAAACAGTGTAAGGGAGGTAATCCAAATACAACATTTTGGTTACTTCCCTTACACTGCTTTTAAATTATGTTTAAAGAAATGCATATTTATAAAGGAAGACCAGTATGGCGCATTAGATTTGTAAAATCTTTGACCACATTTATTTATTTGTTATGCCGAATCTAACCGTGTATTTAGATTTTTAATTTTGGGTCCAGTTTTCAAATTGGTCTACATTAAGGTCCAAAGGGTCCAAAATTAAACTTTGTTTGATTTTAACAAAAATTGAATATATGGGGTTCTTTGATATGCTGAATCTAAACATGTATTTAGATTTTTGATTTTTGGCCCAGTTTTCAAGTTGGTTCAAATTGGGGTCCAAAATTAAATTTTGTTTGATTTCAACAAAAATTAAATATATGGGGTTCTTTGATATGCTGAATCTAACCATGTATTTAGATTTTTTATTTGTGGACCCTGCTATCAAATTGGTTCATATTGAGGTCAAAAGGGTCCAAAATTAAACTTTGTTTGATTTCGTCAAAAATTGAATTATTGGGGTTCTTTGGTATGCCAAATCTAACCGTGTATTTAGATTTTTAATTTTGGGTCCCGTTTTTTAAATTGGTCTTCATTAAGGTCCAAAGGGTCCAAAATTAAACTCAGTTTGATTTTAACAAAAATTGAATTCTTGGGGTTCTTTGATATGCTGAATCTAAACATGTGTTTAGATTTTTGATTATGGGCCCAGTTTTCAAGTTGGTCCAAGTTGGGGTCCAAAATTAAACTTTGTTTGATTTCAACAAAAATTGAATATATGGGGTTCTTTGATATGCTGAATCTAAACATGTATTTAGATTTTAGATTTTTGGCCCAGTTTTCAAGTTGGTCCAAATTGGGGTCCAAAATTAAACTTTGTTTGATTTCAACAAAAATTGAATATATGGGGTTCTTTGATATGCTGAATCTTACCATGTATTTAGATTTTTTATTTGTGGGCCCGCTATCAAATTGGTTCATATTGAGGTCAAAAGGGTCCAAAATTAAACTTTGTTTGATTTCATCAAAAATTGAATTATTGGGGTTCTTTGATGTGCCAAATCTAACCGTGTATTTAGATTTTTAATTTTGGGTCCCGTTTTTTAAATTGGTCTACATTAAGGTCCAAAGGGTCCAAAATTAAACTTAGTTTGATTTTAACAAAAATTGAATATTTGGGGTTCTTTAATATGCTGAATCTAAACATGTGTTTAGATTTTTGATCATGGGCCCAGTTTTCAAGTTGGTCCAAGTTGGGGTCCAAAATTAAACTTTGTTTGATTTCAACAAAAATTGAATATATGGGGTTCTTTAATATGCTGAATCTAAACATGTATTTAGATTTTAGATTTTTGGCCCAGTTTTCAAGTTGGTCCAAATTGGGGTCCAAAATTAAACTTTGTTTGATTTCAACAAAAATTTGAATATATGGGGTTCTTTGATGTGCTGAATCTTACCATGTATTTAGATTTTTTATTTGTGGGCCCACTATCAAATTGGTTCATATTGAGGTCAAAAGGGTCCAAAATTAAACTTTGTTTGATTTCATCAAAAATTGAATTATTGTGGGGTTCTTTGATATGCCAAATCTAACCGTGTTTTTAGATTTTTAATTTTGGGTCCCGTTTTTTAAATTGGTCTACATTAAGGTCCAAAGGGTCCAAAATTAAACTTAGTTTGATTTTAACAAAAATTGAATTCTTGGGGTACTTTGATATGCTGAATCTAAACATGTGTTTAGATTTTTGATTATGGGCCCAGTTTTCAAGTTGGTCCAAGTTGGGGTCCAAAATTAAACTTTGTTTGATTTCAACAAAAATTGAATATATGGGGTTCTTTGATATGCTGAATCTAAACATGTATTTAGATTTTAGATTTTTGGCCCAGTTTTCAAGTTGGTCCAAATTGGGGTCCAAAATTAAACCTTGTTTGATTTCAACAAAAATTGAATATATGGGGTTCTTTGATATGCTGAATCTTACCATGTATTTAGATTTTTTATTTGTGGGCCCACTATCAAATTGGTTCATATTGAGGTCAAAAGGGTCCAAAATTAAACTTTGTTTGATTTCATCAAAAATTGAATTATTGGGGTTCTTTGATATGCCAAATCTAACCGTGTTTTTAGATTTTTAATTTTGGGTCCCGTTTTTTAAATTGGTCTACATTAAGGTCCAAAGGGTCCAAAATTAAACTTAGTTTGATTTTAACAAAAATTGAATTCTTGGGGTACTTTGATATGCTGAATCTAAACATGTGTTTAGATTTTTGATTATGGGCCCAGTTTTCAAGTTGGTCCAAGTTGGGGTCCAAAATTAAACTTTGTTTGATTTCAACAAAAATTGAATATATGGGGTTCTTTGATATGCTGAATCTAAACATGTATTTAGATTTTAGATTTTTGGCCCAGTTTTCAAGTTGGTCCAAATTGGGGTCCAAAATTAAACCTTGTTTGATTTCAACAAAAATTGAATATATGGGGTTCTTTGATATGCTGAATCTTACCATGTATTTAGATTTTTTATTTGTGGGCCCACTATCAAATTGGTTCATATTGAGGTCAAAAGGGTCCAAAATTAAACTTTGTTTGATTTCATCAAAAATTGAATTATTGGGGTTCTTTGATATGCCAAATCTAACCGTGTTTTTAGATTTTTAATTTTGGGTCCCGTTTTTTAAATTGGTCTACATTAAGGTCCAAAGGGTCCAAAATTAAACTTAGTTTGATTTTAACAAAAATTGAATTATTGGGGTACTTTGATATGCTGAATCTAAACATGTGTTTAGATTTTTGATTATGGGCCCAGTTTTCAAGTTGGTCCAAGTTGGGGTCCAAAATTAAACTTTGTTTGATTTCAACAAAAATTGAATATATGGGGTTCTTTGATATGCTGAATCTAACCATGTATTTTGATTTTGGACATTGGACCATAATAGGTAAATTAAAAAAATTGAAGTTCTTAGACCACATTCTTTCTGTGTCAGAAACCTATGCTGTGTCAAATATTTAATCACAATCCAAATTCAGAGCTGTATCAAGCTTGAATGTTGTGTCCATACTTGCCCCAACTGTTCAGGGTTGGACCTCTGCGGTCGTATCAAGCTGCGCCCAGCGAAGCATTTTATTCTCTTAGATTTTTATGAAACTATATCAAAGTTTATATCAGCAATGTCATGAACAAGTTTGTAAATCAGTGCCAATCAACTGTTTTTACAGAAATTATGTCCCTTTGAAATGAAATTGGTATGGGAAATTGTTAGCACTCCTATGCCTACATTTAGTACATTTTTTGTCAAACAACTATTTTTAGTCGAGTTATGCCCCTTGGCAACAGAAACTATTTAGAAAATTGCATAGTAAGTCACTAAATTTCTTGTAGGATATATATATATATATATGAAAATTTAAAAGAATCATCAAAATATATTGGAGTTGCCATTGGACATAAATATGTGCTTAACTGGGGACATTGGAACACTGTTTTGTTATCTATTTGTCTTTTCAAACAGCAAAATTTAACAAACACTATAAAAGTATTTAACATCTCCCATCATTCTTTATAGAAATCAGTAAATGGTGTTATAAGGAATTTCAATTAATAGACTACAACTTTAAACTAGCAATGCTGAATCATGAAATTATTAGGCTTACAATTTGATGTTTGTTGTCTCCTGCTGCACTAGGACACAGCTGCATAGAGTCTATGGACAAAGTAACAGTTTCTGTCCCTCCTTCACACTTTGTGAACACTTCTTCTTAAGGCTGTTTGCCCCAAAACCCTAAATTTCTGACCTTACCTAACATGCCCTTTTTTCCAGTGACAGTCAAATATCTCTGGTAAACCAGCTTTTCAGTACCAAATCATTTGGTTGATTGAATTTTTTTTTCTTATCTTTAGTATGCTTATTATGAATAGCCACAGGACTTTCAGCCAGCAATCAATATAATCTCAAAGTCCAATAAAATCAAAATCCTGGGATGATTGAAGAATATATAGTAATTAATATACCTGGTAATAAATCAGTCGATATACATGTACTATATGTACACTATTTACTGTGGATTCATTATTATTCGTTGGATACCAATTTCCGTGGATTTTGTGGGTACAGGTAAACCACGAAATTAAATGTTCAACGAATTACATATTTTCAATAAGGGTTTATGAAGACTTTTGCAAAACCACGAAATCAAATATCCACGAAAATGCAAGTTTTCCGCAATCCACGAAAATGGTACCCACAAAAATAAGTGAATCCACAGTAGTGTTTTGTGGACTTGTTTGTTTCTCCAGCATTTTGCATTTTTTTGCCACAGTGTTGAAAGATTTTTCAATTTATGAGTTTTGAATCTGCCCTTGGTACCTTCCACCTCTTTTTGTCTACATTGTATTTTTAATATAAATTTATAACTGGACTTATCAAACACTCAAGCATATCATGCTTATACATATAGGGTTATTAACAATATTTGGTATAACTGGTCAATCCCATTTTAATTTTATAAGGGGGTTTTAAAAAATGAAACCAAATTTGTTTTATAATCTTTTAAGATTTTATGGGGAATTCAAGTTAAGTCACCTGAAGCAAGCTATTACACCTTATCAACTTACATTTTCCAGAATTGACAAATGTTAAAATAGATAGAATTCAAAATTAACTGACAATTTGCAAGCAAATAAGTTAACATCCATACATGTGCAATACAAGTTATGGTCTAAAATGGAGTAGAATCATATATTTGTGTAGATGTACCAGTACTTACATAATTTACATTGAAGCATTTCAAAATGTTTAAAGTCTTACTAAAATTTAAATGCTTTTTTTTCTTCAGGTAATGATAATGATGAACTGTCAGCAGTTAACATAGACTATATTAACACATTAGAAACAGTACCTCATGAAGTAAAAAGTCAGCTTACAAAAGCTGTTCAGTTTGCTCAAGAAATGAAGATACTCAACCTATGGCTGAATGTGGAATATAGTATTCCTGTATCTGTGTTAGAAAGGTAAAGGACAATTATAATGCTATTCAGTGGGGGGGGTTAGATGTTGGAAACTCATTCCGTTGCATTTTCTATGCCCCCGCTGTAGCGAAGGGGGCATTAAGTTTTACCGTTGTCCGTCTGTATGTCCGTACCTCCTTCCGTCCGTATGTCCCAAAGTTGGATTTCCTGTAATTATGCTTGAGGAGTAGCCTTTATGAAAAGACAACAACTTCATAATGTTACAATAATTTTTTTTGAATTGGTACAATCAAAGCATTCTGACTTAAAATTTTGTTTGCCCAGGTCATGCAGGTTGGAAGAAGTCCATAACCTGTTTTTAGTATGTTAATGATGGGCAGGTGGGCAAAGAAAAGATGATACATATTTTGTGTAATTGACTTCAACAGTTTTCAACCCATATCCCTGAAACTTAAAAGAAAGATTGTACACCTGTTGACATTGTGCACCTGCTAGTAAGAAATTGTTTGTGGATTTTATTCCAATTTTTTATAACTTTGATAACTACAAAAGGCAATACATATTTTATGTTGTTATACATTGAAATTCTCACAACATTTTATATTAATACCTTAATACCAACTTTGAAAAATTGTCATTCCCCTATTATACTGCAAATTGCATTTTTTACAGATTGAATGATATGGGGATAATATCAGTATCTGTACTAAGCAAACTTTCTGAAAATGATGTCCAGAGTATAGAAAAGATAGTAGATGGTGATATAACAGTTTATGCACATATGCTGAAGGCAATAAAGACTGCAAAAACTATGGAAACTGATCTGCTGATGTTAGATTATTACCAGTCCATTAGGAAAAGTCCAGGATATTCTAATTTTTTCAGAATACTCTTAATATGTAAGTAGATCAAGTCATTTTACAGTTTGCATGGTTATACTTTTTTTCTCTATAACATCACTGAATGTTACTTATAACCAGATTTTTGTTTCGCTTCGAAGAAGTTGAAAAAGTGAGACAGGTGTACTGTTTCCAGCAGCGACGATTGAGGGTGGCGTCAGCAATGTATTAGTTTGTGGTCAGGTCAGTATATGGGGAACCACTAGTGGTAGGTCTGTGATATTTGGTTTGCAGTTGTATCAGTATTGGCACATCTCATTTCCATGGAGATTATTTGGCCACGCACCCACAGTCTATTGACTTTGAAACTTTTTCTTAGTTTACATGTATTAGTTTGAGATTTGGTCAGTTAATAAGGAACTACTAGTGGTAGATAAATGATATTTTCATGGAGATTTTTTGGCCCTTTCCCCCTCAGTCATGGTCTTTTGAATTGAAATTTTTGCTTAGTTTACATTATTAATTTGTGATTAGATCAGTATAAGGGGAACCATAAGTGGTAGGTCAAAGATATACATTTCACATCCATGGAGATAATGTGGCCCTGCGACCTCAGTCATGGTCTATTGACTGAATGTTTGCATAGTTTACATGTGAAGTTTGTGATTAGATCAGTTCAAGATGAACCACTAATGTAAAGTCAATAATGTTTGGTATGCATTTGTATAAGCATTTTGAAGTCTCATTTCAATGTAGATCATATGGCCCCACCCCCTCATCATGGTTTATTGACTTAGAAACTTTTGCACTGTTTATATGTAAAAGTTGGTGTTTAGGTTATTTTAAAGGGAACCACTTATGATAATTATATATAGTCAATGGTATTTGGTATGCAATTTTATAAGCATTGGCATTTCTCATTTCAATGGAGGTTATTAAGCTCGGCAGTCATTGCTTGTTGACCATGAATGTTTTGCATGGTTAACATGTTTAAATAAAACTGCCTTAGTGGCCATGTGGAAGTACGCTCGTCTGAAGTGGTGGAGGTCGTGGGTTAAAACTTTGGCCGGGTCAAACCAAAGACTTGAAAAGAGGTATTTGTTGCTTCTCTGCTTAGCAAGCTGCATTTAGGAGTAAGAGCAAAGAATGGTCTGCTTGGAATCAGAAAATTGTGAAGTTGAAGTGCAATCAACTTGAAACTTAGTACACATGTTCCCTATGATATGATCATTCTAATTTTAATGCATAATTAGAGTTTTGACCCCAATTTCACGGTCCACTGAACATAGAAAATGATAGTGCGAGTGGGGCATCCGTGTACTATGGACACATTCTTGTTAAAAATATGTTTTAAATTTGTGCTAAAATATTAAAATAACAATGTATTCCTTTAACAGAGAAAGCACAGAGACATTTACATTCAAAGTAAATCTGTCAAATAAAATTATGTCATCAAACAATACAAATATTACACTGCTCCTTTTCTAAGTTCTTATAAATAACATGCTTATATTTAGAATATTAAAAACACATTTTTTCACTCAGATTAGCTTTTTTATGTGAGGATCAAATTTTTAAAAAAGTTTCATTTCAATACCGCAGTAATCAATGTAATCATATATAATCTAAAGTAATCATTTTACTTTAAAGAAAAATAATCTAATGTTATCAATTACATTTGAATTTAGGTGTAATTGTAATGTAATTGATTACATCAAATAAGCAAAGTAAATGTAATTTAATCGATTAAATTTTAAAGTAATCGACCCCATCCCTGGAGTCTTTGAACCATCAATCAATATTAGGCAGAGCTTAGCACAACTGCTGTCTGCATCCTTAAAGTGTTTTTTGAAAGGAAAAATTGTAGTACCATCTAAAGTAAAAATTATAGTCATCTGCTGGGAATAAAATTGTCATATGAAGGAATAAAACCACTAATGCATAGGCCCATTGCATTCTATGTTAAATTCTGAGATTTCAAGCATTCATATTTATTTTGTCTTAAGTTTAAACAAAGTGACAGTCATTTACTGTCAAAACTATACCTCATCCTAACTTGTGCTAAAATATCAAATATACCTTGAAATGCATGTTAGAGCTCATTCCAGTGACGAATTTATCCAGGCCTTTGATAAAAAAAATATCAAAATTTTTTCACCCTCCCCCTTTTTAAAAATCTTGGATTATAGTGATCTCAAGTTCTTAAGCTTTCATTTGATACCAAAATTACCCAAATACTTTACTTATTTACAAAGAAACAGCTATACGTAGGAACTATTATGTCTAAAATATGTATTATTGTTTTGTATGTTCTTTCTGACAGGTCCTTATTAGAAGTTTTAATGCCTTTTAAGAATTTGAAAAAAAATGTTATTTAGTATCTTGCTTATCTTATTAAACACCCCTTAGTCCATCAAAAAAAAATCTAGTGATCAGATTGTGAAAATTAGGACTTTATTGACAATTATTGGAAACATTTCTCCTGCAAATTATACATCTTAAATTTCAGTCAATCAACTAATTTTAGATAGGCTTAGGTTGTATTTTAGGTCTTACATATATGTCTCTCATTCAAATGTATAAAATTTATCTTTTTTTAACTGAAAATAATCATGTATTGACTGATATGTGATGTCTAGCTAAAATCACTAATAATTCGACTCATCTAACACACTGTTTTATTTTTTGCCTTGAATTGAAATAATCTTGCCTGCTCTTTCCTCCTGGTCCAGAAACACAGTTTTCGTCCTTTAATTTTCCTTGTCTACAAAGACCTACAAGTATAGTCCCTAGTATGGACAGTGTATATGATACTTGCAATTTTTTTTTCATGCCCATTCACAATTTATTTTCTTCATGTTTTATGTCTCAAATAGCAAGTAGGGGATGAAATTACACTGTAAAAAAAATTGGGTCACGAATTATAAAGTAACGTTAGTGATTTGGTCCAGTTGAAAAAGGTTAAAAATTATTATGTCTGAATCTGTCAAACAGACCTCTTTAACATAAAATTGTCCGTATTTTGAATTAGAGAGTAGATGAAGTTTCTATAATTTTGTCATAATTTGTCCCAAAAGTAGTATACCACACTGTAAAAATATTATTGAGGAAGTGCAGGTGCCACTTTTTTAATTAGCATTTATTTTCTTAAAGAAATGCACTATAAACAACTGTGTACTCAGGCCGCTCAAAGAATCTTTTTTCTTATTATTATGCTACTACTTGCTTGAATTGACTTCTGTTTGCAGTCTTTCAATTTGTTATGATCTATTAAAATTGTGTATTGCAATAGTATCACTAAATGGATTTGAAGAAAGTTTGCATTTTTGTGCCCCACCTAGGGGCTTTATGTTTTTCGGTCTGTGCGTCCGTTCGTTCTTCTGTCCATCCGTCCGTTCTTTTGTCAGTCCGTTTGTTCATTCATTCGTTCGTTCGTCCGTCCGTCCTTCCGTCTGTCCCGCTTCAGGTTAAAGTTTTTGGTCAAGGTAGTTTTTGATGAAGTTGAAGTCCAATCAACTTGAAATTTAGTACACATGTTTCCTATGATATGATCTTTTTAATTTTAATGCCCAATTAGAGTTTTGACCCCAATTTCATAGTCCACTGAACATAGAAAATGATAGTGTGAGTGGGGCATTTGTGTACTACGGACACATTCTTGTTCAGTTATAAGAATGCATTATCATCTAGAAAAATTACTGGCTTAAACCAGTATTGCAGATTAAATTTAATGGTGAGAATTTCCTCAAACAATTCCATTTTAGAAGAATAACTCAAAAGCTTGACCTTTCAGAAGTTCCAGTTGATTGATTTTCTACTCAGTTTTTTAATTTATGAATGAGTGATATTTTATGACACAATAAGAACAAAAATTTAATACCAAAGACAGTTAGTGTAGTTTATGATTATGTACTTCTCTGTTCTAATGGGAAGTTGAGTTGGGGAAAATATGCAGGATTTAGGTACAGTTATAAGGAAGTTAAATAATAGAAATGCTGATCACTGCAAATACTCTTCCCTATTTTCTTTCACTCTGCTAAGTAAACTTGTAGTAAAATGTTTTCAGTGAATTATCATAGAAGTCACCAATGAATGCACTTTTATGGTTTTACTTGAAAAATCATAAGTAATAACAAGTCTCTGACATGGTTCAAACTCATTCACTTATGGCTTATTACTAAGTGATTTTGATGCTGGTGTTTGCATAATAATACAGCAATATACTCAAGTAAGTATGCTTTTTATAAGGTTATAATACCTTCTCTAAAAGGTTCAGGTGCATTTTGGATTATCTATTACCTGACATAAATTATATTTATGGTCAAGGTCAAGTTTTGGTGATAAGGTCAGTTTCTCCTTTACTATGAATAATAGGTCAATTATATTTGGTGTTTTGAATTATTGTAAGTTTAACCTGTCTGTCTGACATTGTTCATCTGACTTTTACCTTATTTTTATGGTTCTTGGGTCAGTGTAAATTTTTTTGTGATTAGTCAGTTTTTCTCAGGTACTATATATAAGTAATAGGTTAGATATTGGGGGTATAGAATCATTTTAAGGTATACATGTCTGTCTGATATGGTTCCTCTGACCATGATCTTATTTTCATGAATCCTTGATAGTTATGTTTATGTGATACAACATGAAACAAAAAATCATCATACATTTTAATTGTTATCAATAAAGCAGGCGAAATATTTCAGTCTTGTTCAACCTTTGGCTGGTTTGGACCAAGTCCAAAACTAGGTTATAATATGGTGATGTCTTGCTGGCTGGGAAAAATTGGTACCTAATTTGTGGTTTCAGTAATTACTTTTTCTGATTCAATCTGGAGATTGTTTCTTTTCAATACCAGGACTTTCTAAATATTAGGAGATTTATATCTTCAGAATGAAGATTGAAGAACAACATGCTGGTTCTTTCTAAATATTGTTGGTATTGATTTAACATGCATATAGCAACAGGAAAGATGAATTGCATGTGCATAAATCAACTTCACTTGTTAAATCGTCTATACAATTAATAATATTCATATTGATCCTATTTCCTAAATAAAAACAAAATATTTCCATGTGCATTATATGTCATAGAGTTGATTGGAAGTGCCAATACCGATATCTGCAAGTTTTATTGGTCCATCAAATTTATATAGTGTAATATATATGATATTTACACCAGGGAGGTGTCAAAGTATCAGAAGATCTATACACAGTTCCCCTATCTCTTTTCTAATTGAATCATCACTCTGTTGGTTTATTCTGATCAATACATAGAACAAAAACTAAATTTCACAAGGAAGATTACACCTATTGTTACGGGTATGTTAATTTCTGTATTCTAGCTTTTGTTGCTTAAATTTTGCCTGGTTGATTTTATAATTGTTATTGATATCAAATTGCAAAATGTGCTAATGCAGCAATTAACATTCATTATCGTCAACAATCAGTGGTTTTAAAATTAGCTGTTTGGTCTCCCTTTATTAAGAAGAAAATATTATCAATGCAATTTGAAACATTTTTTTACGCTTTTAAAGATAATGGTTTAATAATCCAAATCCTTGATCTCCCACCGGAGATGGTTTAGCTCCAGTAACCTTCTGTTTAGTCCATTAACAGAATATTGACTGACGAAAAATGATTTTTCCGTGTAAAACTTATTTATGATTGTACTTGCAAACAATATTATATAAACTGATAAAAATCTAATTATCCGAATTTGGTTAACCAAAATATTACTTGTAATTTCTGTTCATATGAGAACTTTAAGGAAATTGACAATTTGTGTTTTTTTGGTGCTAAATCAAAAACTCAATAAGACGTATAGCTATTTCTTGTTTCTATCGCCAACAGTCAAAACATTTGCTCAAGTATTGGAAAACTTGTTATGTCAAAAATTACATTTCATATTGTAAAGATTTGCTATATAACAAGATTATATTGCTTTACTCAAATCAAGAATTCAGACTTCACGAAGGTAAAAGTATCAGATTTATTTTTTAATTTTATCTTAACTATACATGAAAAGATAGTATTATTCAAGGAAAGTTTTTCTTTTTAACTCAACTGTGACAGAAATGAAATTGGTATAGCCATGCTTTTGTTTAAACCAATTTTCCAGGAAAAATATGAGCGTGAAGAAAATAATTGTGTTTTAAGTTGTTATTGACGTCAGTGTTAAGGAAAAGACATTTTTAAAATGAATTTTTAATGACAGAAAATTGAAATACAGTGACACACCAAGTATTCTTTGTTAGACATTTTGGAATTAAAAATCATGGATGGCACAGTTTATTCAGACTTATGAGACATCTGATCTTATGGGATCATGGACAGCACGGCACGTGTACAGTTTTTATTCTGAATTGCCAGATATCTGATCTTATATTAATTACTTTACAATGATATAGTTGCAAAAAATTGTATCTATACTAACAATTTACAATGTAGGTGTGAAGTATTAGGTTTCAAACCATGTGTTTTAAAACTAATAACGGTTCTTTGTATTGTTTACTGGAAAATCAACAATAAGCAGTTGGAGGGATTTAAAAGAAATAAATAAAGGATTTCTATGGTTTTAGCACTTGACTTTACAAAATGCATGAGTGAGCATAGAATTTGCTGCATTGTGCTATTAAAACTAGAATTCATCTTGTGTAATTCGATGTACCCGGTAATCAATAATATACTTAAGTAGGCGTTTGTACATTTGATTTGAAATATTTTTGTTCTATTATAGTTTAAAGTAACGGAGATAGATGATATAATTGGAGAAGAAAGTGTTTTATCTTGTACACTTAATATTTGGATTATGCTAAAATGATGCTTAAGATGTTGATTCAGTTAACTTCATTCATAAATCTCATTCACAATCGCTATAAGAATATACTTACTTACTAAGGAGTTACGATTTGAATTCATCATCTTCCTTTTTGAAAAGCTGGTTACAATCAGCTAGATCATAACATGTATAAGCAGCCCATTTACAGAATGTATTCATTGTGCCTCAGTCCACCATTGGAATGTTTAATTTAGAATTATGGATATATTAATCATCAAATCTCAATAGAGGACAAGAAATTTGCATAATCTATAAAAAAAAATTGAGTTAGCATTACTTATTACTTTCCAATATTCATAGACCTATAGTTAGTCACAATAAACAATTGTCTTACAAACACTGATATCAATTTATTTATATATTTCAGTTGCTACTGTTGTAATTGGAGCTAGTATTCTTTGTTTTATAATGGTTGTGGATTGCATTGCAAGAGCTATAAGTCCGGCTAATCGTAGATCATATCAAATCCGTCCTCATATTCCTCAGATTCCACATATTCCACAGATTCCACAAAGTAACAACAACAAAGGATGGTTTTGGAATTGGCTAGTTGGATCATACATATCTACACAAAATTGCACTGTGACATGGGGCTGGCAGGAACCACAAGTTGTTGGAAAAACAATGTCATTCTTTATACAGGTAATTATTGTTCTTGGAAATTTTTCACCTGGGGTTAGATGAAGTAAAGTTAAAGATAATTGAAGTATGTCATATGGCTGGCAAGAACCACAAGTTGTTGGAAAAACTTTGACATGTTGTTGGATGTATGTACTATGTCATTTGTTATGCAGTTAATTATTGTTCTGGGACATTTTTCAAAGGGACAAAGAATTGCATCATTTAAATTGGCAGACAAGAATCATGTGATGTTTTGGCTGGCTGTAAAACAGGTCTTCCATAACCTCACATGCTCTCCATGATAATGTAACAACAATGTATAGAAATATTAAAAACAAAACAAACAAAAACTTTGATTTAAAAATGTTTTTAGCATTAAATTTAATTATAAAAATTGAATCCTTCTTTTTGTAGTTTTATAGAGTTGTAAAAGTGTTGATCAGGTGCACATCTTTAGCATTAAAGTGCTGCTGTGCTTCATATAAAAGTGCTTTGGTCAGTGTTTTTACACTTTAATAAAATTAAATACAGAAGCATTCAATTCTTAATGATTGAAATATGATAACTGTGTGAAAGGATCCACAATGATTAGGAAATATCACTTCATTTTTTATACAACCGCAAATTCGTATATTGGTATCACGTCGTCGTCAGCGTCGTCCGAAGATAGTTGGTTTTCGGACAATAACTTTAGTATAATTAAATAAAAATCTATGAAATTTAAACACAAGGTTTATAACCACAAAAGGAAGGTTGGGATTGATTTTGGGGGTTATGGTCCTAACAGTTTAGGAATAAGGGGTCAAAAAGGGGCCCAAATAAGCATTTTTCTATTTTCCAGACAATAACTTGTGGAACGGTGTATGGATCTCTCTGAAATTTTACCACAAGTTTCCATACCACAAAGGGGTGGTTAGGATTTGCTTTGGGGGGCTCAAACCGTTTAGGAATTAGGGGCAAAAAAGGGGGAAAAACAAGGGTTTCCTGGTTAATGGACAATTAAAAAAAAGTACAATGGTATGTTTGGATTACCTCTCTTACACTGCTTTTGAATTATGTATAAAGAAATGTTGTATTGTCTTGAGGTGTTTAGCTGTCAATTTATTTTTAGAAGTTACTATTTAAAAATGCTGATTAAGGAATATTAATTTTAGCGATGATTATGTATGTCATTTTCGATTTTAAGACTTTTATGATGTATTTAAATGGGTAATTATGGTTGCAAACTCCATTGGAAATTTGAATTGAGATTATGACCATATCTTGAGGAAAAGAATTTTTTTTTTGGAAAAGGGGGGGGGGGGGGACAATTTTTTCTCATTTCAGAAATTAAAAAGAAAATTTCTTCAAATATTTTTTTTTTGAGAGAAAAAAGGGGGGGGGGTATATTTTTTTTGGGGGGGAGGGGTCAATTAGCAACAGCATAGTGTATTGCACAAAGCAAAAAATTGAATATAAATTCAAATCATATAACCAATTCTAAGTTCTTTGACTACAGTTATTCTGTGTCAGAAACCTATTATGTGTCAAATATTTAATTACAATCCAAATTCAGACCTGTATGAAGCGCGAATATTGTGTCCATTTTTGCCCTAACTGTTCAGGTTTGGACCTTTGCGGTCGTATCCAGCTTTGCTCGGCGAAGCAATTTATTAAAGAATGGAAAAAAAACATGAAATTTCAGGAAAATTTGCATACAGATATAAATATCAGATATCAGAATGCGAGTTCTTATTATTGAGATACTCACACAGTCGCATTATTCGCACTTATAAAAACCTAGCAATAATTTCTGAATTTACAATATATCTATTTTTATTTCAGTTAAACCAAAAGAATGGTAAATCATATAAAATAACTGATGTAAGAAATGTAAATGTAGAAATACAACACAATGGAGAGAAGATGTCGTGTACTAAACACTTAGAAAAAGACAATGCCAGTAGTGTATCTGTGTCTTTTACCGTACATAAATCAGGGCCATATAAAATACATGTCATGGTTCATGGCAAACATATAAAAGGAAGTCCATTTATCAAAGTATTTGAAGCAGGTCTGTATGATATGGAATAGTATACATGTTTTTTTTTAAATGGTCAGCTTCTAGGTGAGCTGTTGCAGTCAGTTTTTTATAATTTAAACTTTTTAACATATCTCAATTTAAATAACCAGTCTTGAAAATTGGCATTTCTTTGAATTGTGATTTATAAAGTTTTAAAGATATTTTTTCTTTGTCCAGCATGAACGAGAATTCGATGAACTATATAGCTATGTTTACATATTTATGCCCCCGCCATAGCGGAGGGGGCATTAAGTTTTACCCTTGTCCGTCTGTACGTACGTACGTACGTACGTCCGTCCGTCCGTACGTCCCGAAATTGGTTTCCGTTCTCTAACTTGAGTTTGCCTCAACCAAATGTTATGAAACTTATACACAATGCTTATTACCACAAAACACAGATCAAGTTCGAATTTTGGTGGCGTCACTTTAACCGATCTAGAGTTATGCCCCTTTATAAAAGGAAATATTGCAAAATTCTTAGTTTCCGTTCTCTAACTTAAGTTTGCCTCAACCAAATGTTATGAAACTTATACACAATGCTTATTACCACAAAACACAGATCAAGTTTGAATTTTGGTGGTGTCACTTTAACCGATCTAGAGATATGCCCCTTTATAAAAGGAAAAATTGCAAAATTTTTATTTTCTTCTAAATATCAAGTTTATATAATATATTTTTAAAATTGGAGTTATCTTCCTTTGACCATGATTATAGTTGAATCAACTACAATCAATGCTTTATACAATGCAATGTTTAATTTTGACTTCCACTGATAAAACACAGATCAAGTTGAATTTGGGTAGTGTCACTTTAACCATTATTGAGTTATGCCCCTTTATAAATAGAAAGATTGCAAAATTTTTTAGTTTCCATTCTGTAACTGAAGTTTTCCCCAGCCAAACATTATGAAACCTATACACAATATTCATTACCACAAAACTCAGTAAGGATCAAGTACAATTTTTTTTTTTTAAAGGACCTTTTTTATCACCCGTAGTCATTATTTTAACTAACTATAAATAAAAAAAATGAAATTAACCAATTTTATCCAGTATTTCCGTGGAATATTTATTTGGAACTAAATCTTAATATGCAAGACTACCACCACAGAAGACCAACATTTCATAAATATAGAGTTGGCAGAATATTGGTTTAGTGGTTGGCATTGTATATATCCAAAATATAAACCTATTGAAAATATTTTAAAAGGTAGTTGTCATAGAAACAGAATGTGTTTTTGGTACCAATGATGTATTCAAGACATTGAGGTTTTTTTTTTTGGAAAAGGGGGGGGGGGGGGGTGGGGAGGAGGAAGGTGCTGGCTGTTTCTTACAGTCCTTATATAACACAAACTGGTTCAATTTTTCAGACAAGTTTTTTCTCTCACTTTTATGAAGATTGCCATGGCAATGCATAAGCCATAGAAATTTGAATAAATTACCATATTTAGAGATGGAATCACAAGACCACTCATCACTGTCAGTGGGGCTCAGTAATAATCTCTTGGAAAATAGAACTGAAAATAATCAATTTTTTTGTCTGTTCGAAACTGATTCATTTGATTTTATGGAAATACAGAAATTACTTAACAGGCTTTTAAACTTTTTGACAGTTAAACATGAAATGTTTCTAATCTAACAGTTAGACTCCCAGAGGTCCCGAATTCATAGCTATTCCAGACATTAAAATGAATAAATATACAATGTTACAAAAAAATATGCATTGGAATAAACCAAAGAGAATGTACAGTAAGCCCTGCTTAAGTTTGTTTTATAGTAACAGGAATGTTTTGATATCTTTCATTGTTATTGCAATAGAAGAAGTTTTTATGTTTTTTTTTAATTTTCAACGAGATTTTATCTTTTTTTTAGTAATAATTTATATTTTAATTTTTGTTAAATATTCTTTTCCAAGAGCAACAAAATACTGTTTTATTTGCTTAAGCAGTAAGTCATAAAAAGCGATAAGGAATAGTTATAAGTTGTGAAATTCTTAATTCAGAAAAAGCCTCTTTAAATTTAACTTAATGTTTCAAAAATTATTTTCAATGACGTCAACTGGAAAACAACTATCAGTTAAATAGTCATGAGAATATTGTCTTATATATATAAGCAAAATTAATGTTCATAACCAACATAGGTCTCAGACGATGAGATTATGAAGACCTAATAAAGGATAGTAAACAAAGACATTATAAGATCAAGACAACCAAATAAAAACACAAAAATCTAATTTTTTAAATGTTTATGAATTTGTTTTTTTCAGGTTCTATAGAAGCCAGTAAGACAGGATTTACTAATTATTGCTCGACCATAGTATGTACAGTTGGTCAATCCTACCCATTAGTTATAGAAACAAGGGACTGTTATGACAATCCAGCAATGTTTAAAACAGATTCTAAAAATTATTTTAAATTCAAAGTTTATGAGGTAGGTACATTAAGTTAGTTGCCTGAACACTTGAAATATGTGTTTTTCTATATGACTTCCTGTCAAAAAGTTGCAATGTGCCCTGAATTGACATTTTTTGACTAATTTTTGTTTTGGCCAATTATTTTGAAAAATATGATAGATGGGTAGATAGTGTATTTAAAGAGTGAAATGATATATAATGAGCAATACTAGATCTACAAAAATGCCAGTATTACTGAAACCATTGGATAATTCCTTATAGGACAATTTTTGACTAGTTTACTTGTTTTTGACTTATATCACAAAATTATGATAGATATATTAAAATAGTAAACAGGAATTATTATCAGCAATGCAGAATCTACAAAAATGCCTGTATGACCGAAATCATTGGATGACTGCTCTAGGAATTATTGCCCTTAAATGATGATTTTGATTAATTTTTGTGTTTTTTCCAATTATCTTGAAAACTACAAGAGAATGAATAGAAATGTAGAAACTTAAAACAGCAAATATTATCAGTGATACAAGATCTTCAAAAATGACTGTTAAACCAAATTCATTGGATTACTCTTTATGGAGTTATTACCATTAAAAGATGTTTTTGACTAGGTTTTGTGTTTTTGCTAATTTTCTTCTAAACTATTAAGTATAACAGATAGGTAGAAACTATAAAGTGATCATCAATACAAAATCTACACTTAAGCCACTAAATAAGATCTACAAATACATCGAGCCTGAAATATCAGTGGTTGTCATATTGGTTTTTCATAAATTGTATTGTTATAAATGAGGCCATCAGTTTTCTCATTTGAATTGTTTCCCATTTTTCATGTTTGGGCTTTTATAGCTGACTGCATTCTCATTGTTGAAGGCTGTATTGTGCACTATAATTGCTTACATTTTCCTCATTTAAACTCTGGATAGTCGTCTTATTGGCAATCATACCAAATCTCATTTATTTTTATATATGTAAAAATAATTATGAAAATGGCATATTTTTTAAAAGCTCTTAGGAACCTCTTGTTTATGAATAAAGTCATCTGTGTAAATCAAATTGTGGAGAGTATGAAGACAAAAAAGGGCATAAAAAGATCAGCCGAAACCAAATAGGGACAATTTTATCCAAGGGAGTTGTGACCTTAATAGAAAAACACAGAAGATGTATGCTGATACTTCTGCCAGGATATCAGTAGATGATCTATATTTTTGGCAAAATAATAGATCGTAACACTGTGCAGCAATATAAATTAATTACCTTTTTACTGGGCGCTTGATTAGAAATAGTGACGTTCTAACATTATCAATCTGGGCTCGATTGAGTCTCCAGATAATGTTCTTTGACACACTGAATCAATTTAAATTGTGAAACACCTTTACAGCTATATAAAAAGGACACTTTAATAAATAGTGTTGTGTATCTTATTTGCAGACAGAGACTAATGAACGATATGTACCTACAACACAAATAATACACAATGCTGACAGTAAACAACTTACTATGCATATAAAGATGGAAAATGAAGGCTGTTATCAAGCTGCTGTGTCTTATGGTGATGTTAAACTCAGGAATGGTGATTTTAATATTCTAGTCATAAGTGGTGAGTTTTTTCCTATAGGCCATTTTAACATGCTCAGTATTAAACTTGTATATTTGGGGAAATTAAGGAATACTTTATTGTATTTGAATACATCAGTCTACTGTATCTATGGATCTTTTTTACTAATTTGGCAAATTATTTCCAAATTCTTATTCTTTCCACACTTTTGAATATCTTATTCTTTTCAAGGACTTTTCATACTTTTCCAATGATAAATTTGATAATTATGAAATGTTACAAAAAATTGTAAAAGAAGGCATGTTATTTTACATTATCAGTTACAAAATTAGATTTTTTTTTTATTTCAGATGAAGATTTGGAAGTTGTAAATAAAACAACATCTAAAAAAAGTCATAATTTATGGTATGAAGCTCGTCTTTTATCTGATACTGCTGACTCAGCTGAAAAGGCCAAAAGGGTGTATGTGTATATATCTCCAAAGGTAATGTAATTAAACAAATTAAAAAACATTTAATAAGTAGATAGGCTAAAAGATGCTAAAGTGAAATTGAAGTTTTGAGGGTTCGCACTTAAGGCATTTTGGTCATTTTTGGTAGAAAAAATATGTATGACATCTTTCAACTGTTACATCTTGTTGAATGTTCATTACAGTTTAAAATTTGCACTAACCCTTGAATTATTTTGAAGCAAAAAAGACATTATTTTGTATAGTTTTTGTCTCGCTTGAACAAAGTCGAAAAAGCGAGACTGGCATGCTGTTTCCGTCGGAGGGCATTAGTTTGTGATTTGGTCAGTTACAGCCTACCAATAGTGGTAGGTCGATAATATTTGGCATGCAGTTTTATAAGAACTGGCACATCTCATTTCCTTGGAGATTATTTGGCCCCATCCCCTTAGACATGGTTTATTGACTTTGAAATTTTTGCATAGTTTATATGTTAAAGTTTGTCAGTGTTTGATGAACCACTAAAGGTAAGTCAATCATATTTGATATGAAATTGTATTAGCATATGCACTTCTCTTGCATAGGGAAAGTACATCACACCATACTCCTGTGTTAACAGTTATATATCTTATTTTACAGCAATTAACAATAAAAGAATATTTTTTAAAAATTATTGGAAAGAAACTGCATACCTGGCGAGTTTGTCCTTCAACTAAGGTATGTGCTACTTCAACATTGTTTACTAATTCAAATTTGAAGAAAAGTAAGAAACTGCTTGTAGTTTGAAACATTTATTATACACTTGACATTGATAAAGATGGGATTTTAAATTAAACTAAATTGAAATATTCTAAATGTGTTTGCCTTAAATGTTACTTTTTAATTCCATTTTAGAGTAAGATGTTGTGTTTTGATCTATGGTCTTTACTATTGAATTTATTCACAACTTATTAAGACTAGAAGATTGCTAAATAATGTGGATACTAGTTCATTGTCTAAGTCTCTAAGACCTTAAAACTCTTTAATGTCCAATTTTTAGTGTACATTTGTAATATGGCTGATGTCTTATTGACAACACATTTTATGCATGGTTATGGATTTACAGGAATAATAGGCAATATAGAGTGTTCATCAATGACAGCAACCCAACAAAACATTTTGAAATAAAATATAATTATAGATTTCGAATCAAAAGCAAAGACAATTTTCACATAGATATTTTTCTGTTGCAGTCTCCTCTGCCTCTGTTGCATAGGAACATTACATCATTAATATGGTTAATTGTACGTTTTTGCGTTCCTGTAAATGCAATTTGCCAATTCAGAATCTAAAGTACTATGGGTAATTTCATTGTTTGTATTCCCCCCAAAAAATATCATATCATTGGTTGAATTTCCATTGGTTAGGACATTTATAAGCAATCACAACATTTTGGTGTAAGCATCTGAAAATATTACCCAGAATGTATTAGATTCTGAAACAGCAAAATTGTCATAATGAATTATGAAATTTTCTGCATTTAGATTATACTACAAAATGTATTATTATTCTCTTTTTTTTTCAGTTTTCATTTATTGGATATAATAAAAGATATGATGCTCCTGTAATGAAGATATATGGATGTTCACAATTACCAGTAATGTTAGCTACAAAAGATAGAAATATTATAGCTGCTACATTTACAAACTTTCTCCTCAGAAATATTGGTTGGTATTCTTACTAACCTTTTTTTTTTTTAAAGTTTACTGAAAAGTATGACTGCATACTTTTTAATGCTTTTATTACTGTCACGTTTTCATAAAGTGAGACACCAGCATTTTCAACCACAAGATACCCAGGGGTGACAATAAATATTATCCAATTAGCTCTAGACAAAAAGGGAGCTAATCTAAATTGTCTCCCCTAGAGAACTTGTTTAAAAAAGATAGAAATAAACTTTCTGTATATTAGTAATGACCGAGGCCACCCTTAATTAATACACAATATGTAGTTAGTAAAACCATTTAAAGCAGATGAAATTAATTTCACTGTATTCTGTCGAAAAGAAAAAAAACATCTTTTTTATGCCCCCGCCGTAGCGGAGGGGGCATTAAGTTTTACCCTTGTCCGTCCGTCCATACGTACGTCCCCAAGTTGGTTTCCGTTCTCTAACTTTAGTTTGCCTCAACCAAATGCTATGAAACTTATACACAATGCTCATTACCATGAAATACAGATTTTGAAATTGGGTGGCGTCACTTTTACCGTTCTTGAGTTATGCCCCTTTCTAAACATAAAAATTGCTGAATTTTTCGTTTCCGTTCTCTTACTTTAGTTTGCCTCAACCAAATGTTATAAAACTTATACACAATGCTCATTACCATAAAATGCAGATCAAGTTTGAAATTGGGTGGCTTCACTATTACCGTTCTTGAGTTATGCCCCTTTCTAAACATAAAATTTGCTGAATTTTTCGTTTCTGTTCTCTAACTTTAGTTTGCCTCAACCAAATGTTATGAAACTTATACACAATGCTTATTACCACAAAATACAGATCAAGTTCGAAATTGGGTGGCGTCACTTATACCATTCTTGAGTTATGTCCCTTTATAAACATTCTCTAAAATACAGATCAAGTTTGAATTTTGGTGGTATCACTTTTATCGTTCTTGAGTTGAGTCTATTTTCAAATGGAAAATTTGCTGAATTTTTCGTTTCTGTTCTCTAACTTAAGTTAGCCACAACCAAATGTTATGAGACTTATACACAATACTTATTACCACAAAACTCAGATCAAGTACAAATTTGGGTAGCATCACTTTTACTTTTCTTCAGTTATGCCCCTTTATAACTTCATTATGATATGCAAGCGGGGGCATCATCTGTGTCCCATGGACACATTCCCCATTTATTTCAATTTGAAATATTCAAATTAAAAAAAAAAGATATCCTCACTGTATGATGAATTTGAAATTGGGGAAGGGGATACAACTGATTGTCAAATTCACTTTAAAAAATATGTAAATTCTGTTATATTTTGACTTTCTCTCCTTTATGAATTTGTTTAAGGTGGAGAAATTGATGTTATTAAAAATTCTTGTACCTCCTTTATTGACTTAAAAGGAAAAGAATTTTAATTAATATTCAATTGGTGTGACTTGAATTGACTAAAAGAAATTTTATTTCAAATATTTTGTAATGGAACCTTTAAAGATATATTTTCCTCCAGTAATTTCTATACAAAATGAAGCATATCTGCTACATGTATACAGAATAATTCTTTGTCTATTTTAGGTGGATCAGAAACTTTTCAAGATAAAAGAATATTTTTTCTTCAAGAAGTGAAAAAATCAACTAAAAGAGGAAATGTCACCCTCAAAATAGACAGAGCTAATTTACTTCAAAGTGTAAGTTTTTTTTTTTTTATATTTACTGTGGCAATACATTTGTATGTAGATATCCCTGTTTCATATAGAGAGATGTTTTATATTATGAAAATTTATTTCTAATCAGTTGTGCTTGAAACCAGATATTGAGATCTGAAAGTTTCAAAAAGTTTCAAAGCAATACACTGAAAAACGGAACCAGCTTACAAACACGAATAACCATAGAATTAAAGAAAAAATTTAGTCCATAACTGAAATTTTTTCAAGTATCAATATTAAGGTTATATCATGCTAGTATAAAAGCATTGACCAACAGGCCAACATAGCTCAGGAGGACTTAACGGTCAAATAACAGTAGCATCCACCCAATGGTAGTTCTGGTTAAACAAAATTATATAACAAACTTAATTTGATGAACAATATGTACATTCCAAAAATTAATTTCTCGTTAGGGGGACTGGAAACCAAATATTGGAAAAAAAAAGAAATGTATTGGTTTAATATAAGATATTTAAATATTTTTTTATCGTTTTCATCTATTATTTTCAATATCCTGTTTTTGACTATAATTTCACAATTTCATTGAATTAGGGACTGTATGTGCATGAGGTATTTACCATCAGGTTAGCCTTCATACAGTCAGGTTGAATATTTGACGATTGTAACGAATATGATGATGTCATGTACGACAAAAAGCATTTTGAGATATTAGGTAATAGCTTTTTTTATCATAAAGAATACATTATGAGACTTGGAGATATTGATTCAAAATTTTTAGATAGACCACTTTTGAAAGATCATTGAATATTTTATATATTTTTCAGTCATATAAAGCATCGAAGAGTTTATATGCCTCAGATTGGTTTAAAACATTTAATATAGAGTTTGTAAATGAATTAGGTAAGTAATTATTTGTACTATAAGTAAATTATAGCCAATTCATTATACTGATGGGAATTGTTATTATTTTGTTTTTAAGTTTTTGTCTTGCATGCTATAAATGTTTCAAAGGAAGGCATAGGTATAACCATTCCAGCATTTGCATCATCAACACTTAATGTTTAGTTTCCATATTTGGTTCATCTCAGAAGATCATGGGAAATATCATTATTGACTCATTGATATTTGGTATATATCTGCATTGACATCCATGCATCTTAGCGGCATTAGTGTGTGGTTGCTATATGCAATGAATTCCACACATTTCAATTTCAAGGAGAAAAATCGAATATATCCCATGCAACATGCAATATGATGATGCTGTCATGAAAGCTTATAGTTATCAACAACATAAGATGTCTCTTGCATTGCTCATTCTGACGTGCATGGGCAAATATTTGCTCTTCTGTTCAGTTTTTTGTTTTTTTGTGATAATTTATTTTTCATTGTGTGTGTTGTTTCTATCAAACATTGTCTTATGTAATCTGTCTCTTTAAAACACTTTGTATTGACATTTCAAAATTTATCATTTCATCATGTTTTGGGATAATAGCATTTACACTAGTAACAATGCTTTATGAAGAAAATGAACTCATCTGTAATGGTATGAAGCTTGATTACCCATTATGAAATATCACAGAAAATTACTTACCCTTATTTCAGTGAAGCTGAACGATACTGACTGCTTAAGTAGAGAATGAATGTAAATAGTGTTTACATAATTGGTTATATTTCAGGTTTAAGATCAGAATTAATGTAAAAAATATAAAAGTATACATATAATTGTTATTTCAGGTTTAGATTGGGGAGGTTTGAGAAGAGAATGGATACAAGTTTTAAGTACAGAATTATTTGATCCTGATAAATCTGGATTGTTTACCAGATTTACAGACAATTCTCAGGGATTAGTATGTATTGCTTAGAATGTGCACTTTATATAATTGACTTGGGATATATATGTTTAAATGGCTACATATTTAAGGTGAATTCTACAAAAGGTTTCTAATCATCTAATTTATATTCTTTTATGACACTTTTCTCAATTTGTAAACAAAGCCATGTTCTAATTCCGACAAAACATTTAAAAAATAAAAATGACAATGTAGAACAGTTTTTAAGGATTTTCAATTTATGCTGTAAAATTTGTTGGCATGAAGATATGAATATATGTACTGGGTTGCAGATAAAATATAATAAATAGATAGCTTTTATCAACTGGTTAATTTGGTTAACTTGCACTAGGTTTAACCATTGGACAAAGCTTAACCATTGTTAACTGACATCATTTATTGCAGTAATTAAATTCCTGCCATAAAAGTCCAACTTTAATACTATAAGTATAGGGGAATTGTAATTATCAAAGTTTCTTCATTTGTTTCAGATCCATCCACGTCCTAATGCTGGTGTCAAAATAAAATTATATGAGTTAGCGGGTAAACTTGTTGGTAAATGTTTACTAGACAGTTCTATAGGAAGTACATCTCAGCTTTTTATAAAAGCCAACTTTTCCAGGTCTTTTTTGGCACAGGTCATTGGACTTCAGGTTAATTATAAGGTCAGTTTTAATCACATCAGATACAATTTAATGTAGCAATCTATACAAATTATTGACAATAGATTTAGCTTATCAAATCCTTTCAGCAGTTCAGAAATTGATCTCAAAGACAACATATTTTTTTTTTGATAGCAAATAAACAACTTATAGTTCAAATGCACTTTTTCAAATCAATAAATTTTTGTTATCAAAATGTGCTATCAGATGATCCATATCACACACTTGTCACAAAATAATTGTAGTTTCTCTGTATCATCTTGTTCAAACGGGGCCTCAGTGGCCAAAATGTCAAAGTTGTTTATCTGCAGTTATCACTAGCCTGTCAACACTGAGGTTAAGAGTCAAACCCTGCTCGTTCTACTCCTCTCTTTATTGATTCGGATTGCTAGTTTTCCTGCCAAAAGTTCTTGGAAATCTAGCTTCCTCCTTCAATAAAAACTGTCTGCCACGATATAGCTAAGAGTGCTGAAAGTGGTGTTTAAAGGTCAAATTAAATGATCATATTGTTGCATTTATAGGAACATTTTTGATAAAAACTTTGGATGAACCTTTATACTGGAAATCTTTTATTATTACAGCTTCCAAAATAAATCATTTGCGGATTTGAATGAATAATTCTTGTGTCAAATAAGCTTAAAATTGTTGCATTTATAATTCATTATTCTGATTCCAAACCCAACTATCCATTTACTTACTCCTGAATACCATGTGCTTGGTGGAAAATAGCTAATAACGATTATTTTAGTTCATTTGTTTGAACTGGTTATGGATGAAACTAAGAACATTTTTGCAGAGGTGAACCATACACAATGATAGAAATTCCTTTACTTACATGTACATTTTTTTGCATGCTTATAACTGTCTCCAAGAGTTAAGAGCATTTGTGGTATTTTGGGTATTGTCTTACTACATCATGTCCGAAAGAACTCATACATATTTGATATTTTGAATTGTTTTCAGTGATATATGCATTTTACATGCATTTTATTTATTTTCAGTATTTTGAAACAGATGATCCAGATTTATATAAAACAAAGATAAAGTTTATAGAGGATAATAGTATAGAAGATATGGATTTAACATTTAGTGAAGATGAATATGTGGACGGACAACATGTGAAGGTAAGTATTTTTAAAAGGGAGAAAAGGTTGGGGGAGATAACTCTCACTAATATAGGGGAAAAAGGAATATTTCTTTGTATATTGTATGGTCCATCTGTGTTTACTTCCCAATTTAGTTTTTTAAATTTGGTGAAATTTCTCAAGAAACTTTGATCATGTACAAATATTCTTGTTAATAACTATGTCATTATGCCCTACTTTTCACACTTGAGTGACTTTGGTTATGTTTTGTGTTTAGGTCCATTTCTCAGAAATATATGCAAAGAGTTCTCTTGCACAGTTCAATATTGTTCATTAGAGATTTGATCACTATGAAGTTTAATGGATGAGCTCGAGTGATTTGATAAGTTTTGCTCTTACTTCCATTGTGCAGAAAACTATGGTAATTATACATTGACATTTTACTACTGTCTTCTAGTATAGTGCAACTAAATTCAACAACATAAAAGTGTCTATGACCTACTTTTCATGCATGAGTTACTTTCTTTAAGTATTGCAATAAGGTCAATTTCTTAGAAACCCATTCTGATATATTAGTGATACATGTATTTCATTACTCTTGTCCTCTTTATTTTGTTGATAACCTTTATAAATAGTTATGTTAACGTTGAACTATTCTAAGTGGAATTTCAGTCCTTAGTTTGAATTTGAAAGTGTGTTATACATTTTCGTAAAAAAAAAAAATGTCAGATGATGTTTTTATGTGGTCATGTTTATGTAGTTTATATGCAGTCCTCAATGCTCTTCAACTTCATACTTTATTTGGTCTATTTATCATCTTTTATTTTAGCGTCACTGATGACAAAACATGTGTCTCACGTACAAAATTTTAAGCCTGGTATCTATGATGAGTTTATACATATTCAGATATTGTTACAATTTGCAAGAAAATAATGTTATTTTAATATTGACACTTCCTACTATTTTTTACAGACTGTTGATCTTGTTCAAAATGGTTCAAAGATGAATGTAACTGATGACAATAAAATGTATTACCTGAACTGCCTTGCTCAATATAAACTGGTTACTGGTGTCAAGGAGGAAGTAGAAAGTTTTTTAAAGGGACTAAATGCAATCATTCCTGATAATCTGCTTAGTATCTTTGATGAAAATGAACTGGAGGTAAACTGTTAAATGATTTGCAATAAATGAGCATATGTATCCATCATTTATAGGAATATATAGAAAAACTTTGATTCTACGATCAATTACAGTTGAAAAGGAGTAAGAACAATGCATTAAACAGCTTTCTTGTTCACAAGAAATGAATTTAAGTCATTCATACTCTTTTAAATGTACTACCATGCTCAGCTCTAATGCTTTCACTTGGTTTTATCCCAAACATCATGGTTGTAAACCTGATGATGGTAGTTTTGTCCATACTTTATCATATATACATCCAGTTATCTTGTAAAACAAAAAGATAATACAAAGTTTAAATGTGAAAATTATCATATTGAACAATATTAAGAACAATTAATAATTTTGTCATAAATTTAATGAAAATTCCAAAATCCATTAGAGATATGTTTTTATAATATACTTAGTGGCAATGACAACCTTTCTGTATCAGCCATCTGTGATGATATTGATATCAGTCACAATTCAATAGCACAGGCACTTCTGAGAAAAAATTACCTACACACTTTAATATAACTCAAGGTACCCAACATGTATTTTTGAGAAATTACACTAAGTGGCAAACTTCCGTTATATACCATTTCTGCAGTTGTCTATCCCATTGAAACATGTTATGTCATAAATCTACATTACCGTAGAAAGGCTTGTATAGTTCGCATTGGTACATAGTCCGCACCCCCTTCTCCCCACGAAATTTTAGGTAAAAAAACTTTTTGTAACTGTTAGAAAAGGTCTTATGAAACTCCGGTAATTTCAAATCCTGTGCGGTCCTTTGCGGTATTTTCTTGGAACAACCTGTTTTCCATCATCAAACAGAAGCTGAAACTGCTTGTAAATGATTCTAGAACGCTTCATGATTGTTAAAATAAGTTTAATTCACTTAAAAAACAATTTAGAAGCTTGTGTATGTTTAAACAGGAAGTTTAAAAAGCACGTGTAAAAGAAGAAATTAACCGGTGAGAGTCGAAATCCGTACATAACAGATATCACTATAATACGACTTTGAAAGTAAAACAGTTCCATCCTTTTGTAAAACAGTCTTTAATATATCTATCACATTAGTGTTTGAAGGGTCTTAAGCTAATACAAACCATATTAGTCAGTATGAAACACCAAAACGGAACGAACAATAATCGATTACGTTTTGTAGTTTACAAATTCTAAGCTGGTTTACGGTTGTCTTTTTCACTATGTTTGTATCGTTTCAATCAAGCAGATACCAGTTTATTTCAACCAATGCATTGAAAAGAAACGAGAAATTTGTAATGAAAGGTTTAGTTTTTATATTTATCAGTATTAATTTGATATTGAATAGAAATAACTTATTAATATGGATGAGTTAAAATTATTAGTTTGAAAAATGATAAGAGCGCCCTCTACAATATAAATAACAAAGATGGCGGAACGTAAACAAACAACCTCACCCGCGAAATTGAAATTTTTCTCTTATTTCTTGCTTATTGTACTCTATAGTCCGCACCACGTCTGAAAGGTCCAATTTTGGAGAATAAAACCGCGGACTATACAAGCCTTTCTACGGTAAATTATCTACAATAAAGTGTATAACAGGCCTATTTCTATTGTTGAATCATTCGTAGCAGGACTTTCAAGTAAGTAAACCGTAAATTATTTCGTCATCTATATATAATAGAGGTTGTATTGGTGTCTTGGGTTGATACTGGTGTGGTATTGAAAAAGCTATTTGTAGGTTTCATAACAAGTGAGAATTTGGTATGGCTTGATATCATCTATAATAGAGATTGTATTGGTGTCTTGGGTTGATACTGGTGTGGAATATAGCTATTTGTAGGTTTCATAACAAGTGATAATTGGGTATGACTTGATATCAACTCAAGTTATTTAATTTCAATATGATAATAAACTAGCCTTACTTAATTTTTAAACTGATATTGACTTTCGTTTTTTAGCTATTAATGTGTGGTACAGATAATTACAGCTTTAATGATTTTAAACAGAATGCAGTCATATCAGGAGATTTTGTGGGTACTAAGGTGAGAAGGATAAATATAGATTCTATCAATACACCTATTTTTTGTTTTACTATACTTTGAATAATTAGTGTGGTATTTGTTTGCATAACAAAGCTTGCATTGTTGTTCTTTTAACATTGTGTAGGATTTCATTATTATAACAAGCCAAAAATTATACTATCCCAGTTTCTCCAACTTTGAAAAGTTGGCAAATAGGTTACTTCATGAATTTCACAAATTTACTGAAAAGTTAGATGGAAATTAAAAGGAAAGCACCAATGACCACTGTAAAGGCTAAAAGCTGAACTTAAATTTTGTGACAATTTTTCAGTTATTGGAATGGTTTTGGGCAATTGTTGCCAGCTTCACAGATGAACAGATGGCTAGACTATTACAATTTACAACAGGCAGTTCTCAGCTACCACCAGGAGGATTTAAAGACCTAGATCCCAACTTTACAATTTCATTTACATCTTATTCCACAAACAGCTTACCCACAGCACATACATGGTGAGTTGTATAAGGTCAGCAAGTGCTTGTCACATTTAAGAACTTAACTAAATGTGCTCATCTGATCCAAAGGTCAATTTAAAAACCCTGAAAAATCCATGGACAATTAGTTCAAACTTAGGAATGATACTGCCTTATAGTATATTGGTTGAAGACATTAATAACTTTCAAATATGATTCTCACAGTTATTAATATTATTAATTAAGTATACACAAAATTTTGCAAAAATCAAGATAACATATTTTTTCTGCACAATGAGTAGAAATTTCAACAGTAACAGATGCAAAAGGAGGGACTGTGTTTTATTTTATGGTAATGATGGTTTTGTTAGATATTCTACTTTGTTGATTTTCACCTATCTATCTGTAATAAGCCTAAAATCTATTAAAAAAAAATTTTTTTTAGACTTTGTGACGAATTACAATGATTCCCTTTCTTAGATCACCAAGCCCTAAAGGCCAGTGTGAGCCATTGCTATCACTTTGCATCAGTCATTCTGTAACTTTTTCAAAAATCTTTTCCGCTGAAACTAATGAGCCATTTGGAACAAACTTGGCCACAACCATCCTTTGGGTATAGTTTATACAATTGTATTGCATTTTTGGCTATTATTTTGCAAACTGTTACAGATAAAGGGAGACTGTAAACAGCAAAAATGAACAGCAAAATAAGATCTACGAATAAGTAAATGATGAAAACAGTCAGTTGTACTCTTTCAACTATCAAATTCCCATGCCCTTTTGCAATCCTGGAAAAAACATTATAAATAAATGTCAAATGAGACATACAGGTTACTAAAAAAGAAATCAAATTTCATGATAGAATTGCTTTTGTCACATGTATAGTTGAAAAATTTATGTCTTGGGCTCTTTCAACAAAAATTGATTGTAGTAAAACTGTAATGTTCATGACTTACATGTATTTTTTCTAGTAAGATTTTTTTGTGAAATGAGTTTTGTTGGTACCTAGAGATTTGTGTATTTTACACCATTTATTAGTATCTGTTTCTATTAGGCTCATCTATAAGGAATAAACAGGAAAGAAAAAATTACATGTTGCTGTAATAATTTTTTTTCTTCTGTTTCAGTTTTAACCAGTTATGTCTCCCTACATATACAACAATGGAACAGATGCATAAATGTATGATAACAGCTATCACTGAAGGCTTTCAAGGATTTGGATTTGCCTGATATTATTTTTCAATAGTACAAATGCTGTAAAAATGTAAGCCTAAAGCTCCACCAAGATGATATTAGTTCTTTTTGGTAGAAAGTAAGGTATTGCCTAAGCTTTATTTGAATGTTTATCTCCCCTGAACACTACTTTTTAAGGAGTAAATGTCAAAATATTATGCAAGATTTACAGATTTATTTCTCATTTCTTCATAGAGAACATTGTCTCTGACCAAAATCAAAATTACAATGTGATTATACTGAAAGTTAATTCTCTGTAGATATTACCTCTCAGTATGAAATAGTCCCTGGCATATTAATGAAGACAGAGGGACCAAAAATGTGTACATCCAAAAATTCAACTTGCTGTCGGTTTTTACAGCATTGACCATACAATCATTTACCAATTTTCTTGCATTTAACTAGTTCGATTTTTATGTCATTAAGTGCATTTTTAATAAGATGTTAGGTATTGAAATCAGTATTGCTGAGATGAAATAGATTGATTCAAGTTAATTTACCCAAATTTACTTGAGTTCCTGCTGAGAAATTTTTAGGTTCAATATATGGAACGTCTTTTGTATCAATAAAATCTAGTCATTTTGATTTAGTGTTGAGCTGTCTAGCTAGGAATGATTTGTTTTGTTCCTGTTGTTGGGTTCTTTGCATAGCTTTATTTGTGAAACATTCAAACTTTCCATGGGTTTTCTTGCAGATTTTACACATGTGGGCGTATCGGCAGTAAGGTTTAAAACAACCTTTTGGTTGATTAGAATTATTGCAGATTTGCATTCCATTGTGAACCAAAATATCTCTTCCATATTTGTCTTGATACGGAGGTTGAATTTTAGAATTATGATATCCCCTGCTATTTGGACACATAGATGATTTGTGTAGTGTTGATGAACAGAAATTACACATTTTTACTGTTGAGCCAGCACAAACCATTTGTCTCAACTCCAAATCACCCCTAGACCAGTCAATTTAATGTTGTGTTCTTGTAACATAATTGAACATTTAGCACTAAACATTTTGTGGTATTCGAAAAATTTTGCTGGCCACACATTAGCGGTTTCGATGATGTGGGATAGGTAAGAATCTAATGCATTCTTCTGCCCTGTTTGGAAATACTTGACACATTATTTTTTTGTATCTTCCAAAAGCTATAATAAACTCGTCTAGTGTTAAATTTCGTTTAAACGTTCATCGTTTTCTTAAAACTTTTGGGTATTGGGTGTTTCATAATTCGGAAGAAGGAGAATGTTTAAGTTGACGCTGTGGTGGGATATCCATTTTTTGACATTTGCACTTGTTGATTTTGCATGGCAAAGATTGGAACTTGTGGTCCGAAACTGTTTGGGAAATTCATCTGGTTGGGGTTTACAAATTCTCCCAACGTAGGGTTTTGAACACCAAATGTATTTGGGTTGACGGGAAATGTTGATCCAGGCCCAGGTTTAAAGTTCATGGTGGAATGTAAGTTGAATTTATTAGTTTGTTTAGGAACTCCGGCAATGGCTTGTTGACACAAATGTAAGGTGTTATTGACAAGAGCATAGTCAAGAGTATTGAGATCAGCCCTGGGCGGAAATGCGTGGTTTTGATGTGCAGAAGCACCTACTACTGGTAAAGGCGTTGGCTCAACTGTATTCATTTGCGAGGTAGATGCTGTCGGAATTTGGCTGGAAAGTTCGGAATTCTGCGTATTCGAAGACGAAAAAATAACATCATCTTCTACATTTGATGCTAGAGAAGCATTCAAAGTTGCACTGGTGTTGGTTGTTTCAGTATTTCCACTGTCAGAATCTTCCGGACTACTTTTTTGGTTATCAAAGAAAATACGTCTTCATTGTTTATTAGTAAAGTTCTCCGATATTTTGATTCCTAGCGAAGCTAATTTATCTTTCAGCTCTGTTGATGTCCAATTATTCGGATTATTAGGGTCTAGCTCTGGACCACGTGTTCTTTTTCTATTATCCCTCCTTTTGGAAGCCATAACGTGAGGAACGTTTTTACACAGATAATTATATTCCAAACTTTTATAAAAACATCACTCTACGCAAAGTTATTTCATATGATGATAAATCCTTCGTGATTTATAAAGAAAAAACAAGAGCACAGTTATAAGTCAAAAAGCTGACCAAAACAATAGAAGTTCATGTATTACTTGCAGACACATATCATACGCAAACATCGTGTGAAGTAATGACGTAGCAAAATTAGATTAGAATGGAATGTGCACTGTGACGTCATAGACCGTGTGCAAAGATAATTAACTACCCAATAGAGTGAGATGACAAGTTCATAATAAACTTCAATTATAAATAAATATAATTTTAATTCCTATTATTCCATCATTTTAACTTGATTGGAAAAGGCTATTATAAACAAAGCTAGAGGGACATTCTGTTACAATAAAAGGTAAATATGTATCTACTTAATATTTCCATACAACTTACTAAGGATACTCACTAATTATATTTTCAACTTCACTTTTGATTTGAAATCCCTCCTATTTTTTGAAGCAATAAATATATCAAATATTTTTTTAAGAGAGAATGATCTTCATACACATGAGCATGGAAACCAAATCAATCAAGTCAAATTTTTAAATGAATACATATGGTGGAAAATTTATTTGTGATTGTTCAAAGATCTCAATTAACCTTGTCTGTGATACTGTAGTGTAAAATAAAAACTTTGTGTGTAATTTTATTATGCTTGATGTTTATATTCACTGTTACCAAATCAGTCAATCAGAATCGTTTTGTGTACTTGTTTTGTATTTTCAACTGCAATTGGGCTGTATACATATGATTTGATACTGTAAATTATAAAATTACAGCATGCAGTTTTGAGAGTTATCAGTGCAATTTCGAAAATGCAGAAAATTCGAAATTGGAGTTGTAATTAATGTAATGCATGTTTTTTTATATATTAACAACATATCAAAATATTCTGAATATTCTGAATTCACAGTACTTAAATTTTTATTTACAGTAGTAGCTAATCATCTCTTTTCATGTTTCTTTTCTTTTACTAGTAAGTAATCACTATTATTTAGATCAATACAATAGCTATTAGATAAATGATAGCTTCTTGAATAAAAATTACTTAGTGAAATTTGAGTACATCTAAATGTAAGTTAAAGTTTCCTGAATCGAACTTTTTCTTTTGAATTTCAAATTTTATTTTAAATAGTGAAAAAAATATGAATTGTGCTGTAACAATTTAAAATATGTTGTGGGACAAGTTTCATTTGATGTAATGTGTTAAAGCAATAAAAGTGTTTTACTACCTCACTTTATACAACATCTAGTCCAGATTTTTCCAGTCAGAGGTGACTTTACAAAGAGATGCTAGTAACATAACAAAAATGTTTCAAAATTTGTTTCAGTTTGATTACTGTTGCAATTGATTTGATTTGGAAATTTGTTTCATCTGAAACCTTGTGCTTTATTATGAAGCCCTTCTGTGTTTCATACAAAATGTGCAATGGTTAACGATTTTACAAAAAGAAGCATTCAATTCTTAAATACATACATCCTTTATTGAACTGAGCAGTTGCAAGATTGTTGGATTAGACATACATTTGTTTATGGTTTTGGTTATAAATTCATACATATTATTCCAAATGAGTCATGATTTAATGTAGATAAATTTTAAAAGAAAAATCTGTTATCATATATTCATCCATTGTATGTGCTCAAGGCTTATATCTTATAGAGTTTATCAACTATTGTTCATTGGTAGTTTGATTTTGTTTCTTAACTGTAAGACCATATTGCAGATTGTAATATGCTATTTATAATTTATAATTTTTGATTATTTATTAGTATTTAATTTATTATTAATCATTTAATTATTATAATTATAAACTATATATGTTCCACAGTTCTCTTTATTTAATAAATCTTATTTAGTACAATTTGTGAAATACAGGCCTTTTTTTCTAAGAAACAATCAATATAAAAAAGTGTAATTTATTGGATTTGAATTGAATCAGGAATGGTAGGCAATAAAATTTTATAGGCCTAGTAACTCAAGATTCTATTTCAATAGAATACTAGTAAATTATTTGAAATTTAGTTAATTATTTAGTACTTTGCATTTCATTCTATAAAGCTTACCGCTCTAGTTATCAAAGCTAGAAATAAAAAGGCTTTTGCATGTCAGTGTAAATTCTTTATCCATTTCAATATTTTCACTCATGTTTTACATGTTCCCCATTTTTTTGCAGATTTGCACTAAATACTAACAAAATAATCCAAAAAATATTACAAAACCAAAGTACATGTATAAGTTTGTATTTTGTTGTTATTCTTCTATATATATCCATTAAGATGTGTTTAATTTATTTTGTTTTTCATTGTTTTTTCAATGTATGACTGTTGGTCTTCTTTAAGTGCTTTTACTAGTTAAATCCGTTATTTTGTATGAGTCTTTGTTTTTACATTTATAGATCAGCCCTAACATGGTATGTTTTCAAACGTTATCCATTTCAAATTTTGATTTATATTCTTTATTAAAATATTTGTATTTTAGACCTTCCAACTTGCCCAATTAATGTGGGATTTTTCCTATGAGAGGTGTTGAGCAGACCCTTGAAATCTCCCCATTATATAAACCATATACCTCATAACAGGCATTCAAAGCAGGCAAAAATGGCATTGAAGAACATATTTACTCATATTAAACCATAGTATATAATATTATAATTAAGAGATGCCTTATGTCCTCTTGTGCTTTATTCCCTCACTGGTTTTTTGTCGAGCCTTCGACTTTAGTCGAAAAAGCGAGACATAGCGATCCTACATTCCGTCGGTGTCGTTGTCGTCGTCGTTATCTTCGGCGTCCACAAATAATCACTTTGTGGTTAAAGTTTTTAAAATTTTAATAACTTTCTTAAACTATCCTGGGTTTCTACCAAACTTGGACAGAAGCTTGTTTATGATCATAAGATAGTATCCAGAAGTAAATTTTGTAAAAAAAAAAAAAATCCATTTTTTCCTTATTTTACTTTTAAATGGACTTAGATTTTCTGCCAGGAAACAACACATTCACTCTGTGTTTAAAGTTTTTAAAATTTTAATAACTTTCTTATACTATTTTGGATTTGTACCAAACTTGGACAGAAGCTTGTTTATGATTTAAAGCTAGTATCTAGAAGGAAATTTTGTAAAAAATAAATCCATTTTTTCCATATTTTACTTTTAAATGGACTTAGATTTTCTGCCAGGAAACAACACATTCACTCTGTGGTTAAAGTTTTTAAAATTTTGATAACTTTCTTATACTATTTTGAATTTGTACCAAACTTGGACAGAAGCTTGTTTATGATCAAATGCTAGTATCTAGAAGGAAATTTTGTTTTCTTCCAGTTAACATTACATTCAGTCTGCAGTTAAAGTTTTTAAACATTTATTAGATTCATAAACTATCCTGGATTTTTACCAAACTTGGACAGAAGCTTCTTACAATCAAAAGATAGTATCAAGAGGAATATTTTTATTGATTTACTTCCTCATTTTTGTTGAGCCTGCGATCAACAGAAAAAGTAGGCGAGACACTGGGTTCCGCGGAACCCTTACGAATTTTTAGAAGTTGGCAGGTTTGCTAATTTTGTTCAAAAATTTTACCATTTATTCACACAGCACAACACATGACTAATATTTAAATTCTTTCACAGGAAGTGTATTTTGTGATAAAATACCAAAGGCGAAAAAATATGTTTAGCCAAATCAAACAGTTGAAAAAAAATTCTTTATTTTGCTCATGTTAGAATTTTTCTATATTCACACAAATTATCCAAAGAGTGCAATCTATTTCCATTATACCATAGAGATTTACTAATATTAGTAATAAGAAATTTATTGTCATCAAGATAATTAATATACATGTAGCAGATACTTATGACTGGAAGTGGTGTTTTAATCATGATCTTTAATCAAAATGTTAATACAATGTATAATCATGTTATTTTATTATTTTTAGTTCTTTTTATTAAAGTTCACTTTGAATCTTTGTATTTTGTTGTAATTCTTAGAGATTTTAAAAGGGACTAATCACTGGTATACTGATTTGGCCCTTCCAACCCTTTTGATTTGAATGTCACTGATGAGTCTTATGTAGATGAAATGCAATGTCTAGTGTAACAAATTATAAGCCTTGTATATTTGATGAGATTTTATAACCACTTGGTTGATGCAGCTGCTGCTGGAAATTTCGCCCCAAGGGTATCACCAGGCCAGTACAGATTGTATGGTGTGTATTGCCACCTTCAGCACTATTGTGCTATTTAGTTGTGGTCATTTTTATTGGTGGAGGGAACTGGAGTGTCTGGAGAGAACCACCGACTTCCGGTATGAAAATTGACAATCCTAGTCAATTAAGATTGGAGTCGAGTGTACCTGCCACATGCGGGATTCAAACTCACAACCTCAGTATCGATAGGCTAGTGATGCAGTAGTGCGACTACTTATAGAAATAAGAAGATGTGGTATGATTGCCAATGAGACAACTCTCCACCAGAGACCAAATGACATAGAAGTTATCATTTATAGGTCACCATATGGCCTTCAACAATGATCAAAACCCATACTACATAGTCAGCTATAAAAGGACCCGAAATGAAAAATGTAAAACAATTCAAACGAGATAAATAACGGCCTGACTTATGTACAAAACATTGAACGAAAAATAAATATGATATACAGCAACAAACAACAACTACTTAGACCACTTGGCCACCAGCCCAGTAGACAGCACTTTTGGGTTGCCAGGAAATATCATTGATATGTTAGTTTTCTGTCTATTAAATGTTGAATTATTCGAAACACTAGGTTTTTCCCAAAGGCAAAGATTTTCTTATCCCTATTTGACAAAAGTTTTCGAAGTTTTCATTTTTTATTGCTCTTCAACTTCACATTTGATTAGGCCCTTCCAACTGTTTTGATTTTAGCGTCACTGATAAGTATTATGTAGACGATAAGAACGTCTGGCGTATCAAATTATAAGTCTAGTATCTGATGAGTTTATACTACTTTTGTATTTGATTAAAAGGATGAAGTCCAGGCATCAACAATTCGTCTCAAATATTTGATTGAATACTGTTTATTACAAACTTTACCAAATGAGTAGATGCATGAAGGCCGCTTTTTAGTCACAAATTAAAAAGATTTTGTGAAGACTTCCAAAATGCTCATAACATACAAAAAATATAGGAATTAGGAAAATTAAGACATTGTTCTCTGCATTATGACATCACAATAAGGGCATAATTAGCCATCATTTTGTGAACTTTATAAAAAAGCTAAATTTAACAATTCCCTTGCTTTTGTGCCTTTAGGAAACGACGAGCACATTCGAGAAACACAAAATATCTTTAGTATTATCCATAATTACCCATTTTCATGAAATATTAAGTTTTTTCTCAGGTGTACTCATAATTTTGCTTTTCAAAATCTATGTAAATATTTTTGAAAAAAACCAAGAATGATAAGGGAAATGTTCAAAATGTGCAATTTTCACTACTCTGTGAATCCATGGTATCTCCTTGGATGTAAAAGTTTTCTTGAGTTCCCGAATTTCACTTAGTTTATCTATTTTAAAAGTTTTGTAATGTATGTTGACTTGATATTTTCATCATATTTTCCTGTATATTTCATTTGGTTATCTTTTCATTCATCCTCTAATACGCGCATCTGGCATATCAAATTATAAGCCTGGTATCTTTGATGTGTTGTTACAACTACTGGATCAATGCCACTGCTGATGAACGTTTCGTCACTGGGGGTATCACCAACCCAGTAGTCAGCAATTCTGTGTTCACATGGAATATCATTGATATGTTCTTTTTCTGTAAAAAAACTCGTTTAAGATGTAAATTTAAAATGTTAAATTCATGGATTTTCTTGGCCGCATTTGACACAATGTTTCTTTAATTTTCGGTTTTTAATGCTCTTCAACTTTATATTTGATTTGACTTACAGATGTTTTGATGTTTTTGGCTTGTATAACAATAATTTGAATATATGTCTGAAGGTACGTTTTTAAAACTTAGTGGTTTAAAGCAGTGAGTGGCATTTTACTGAACTGGATCGGCTCATCCCTGTTACAGTAGGTATTTGATCTGGTGATTCAGTGCTTCTAAGGGATATGTCCTTCTTGGGCCAATCCTGTTCCTCGTCCATTTCAACGAAATAAGCAGATCATATGACATCGGAGATGATGCTATTTAAGACCAATGCGTTTGCTATAGAGAAATAAACAACAACAAAGACTACTTGTAGATACAAATACACCTTAGGTACATATGGGCTGAAACTTTAGGAATGCGTTTCCAACATGTCAAATACAACATGATAACCCTAAGTGGCAAAATGAAGACCACAGAATTAAGGTTTACCAATAAAGGCATAGAACTGACATTCTTAAATTCAATAAAATACATGGGAGTGAGCATCCGGAACGATTAACATTGGGGAACATATTGAGAATATATGAAATAAATATCTTTTCCTAAACTGTAACATCACCGAATGAGACCAAACACCGAATTTGTACTCATTATGGTCAATACAATGGGTTCAACTTGTGGACAAGGATATTATTACTCTTACGGAGCACATGATATCACCTGGTTTTTGGTGGCGTTCGTGAAGCTCAGTTTTTAGGTTTTTTTATATAGTGATTTGTAGTTGCTGTTTTTCTCTATTTGTTTTTGTTTTTTTTTTCGGTCTGTGATTTTGTTGGTTTCTCTTCGACTTGTGGGTTTTGATTCTTCCATATATCTTCCGCCTCTTATAATGGTCCATTGGATTTTTAAAACGAAATCTGTCAGCATGCTCTATGGATGTAAGTTACATCTGAAGCTGTGTATCTTTTTATTAACTTTACACTGTTTCCTTTAGTTGTCGTTGTGTTTTTATGTTCCCTATTGTCGTATGAATCTTGACGTGACTCGGTATTCATGCATTCAGCTAGCGTGTTTTTATCTTTGGGTGTTCCCGGTGTGGTTCCAGAGGTGAGATCGGACGCAAGAGTTTTTTACAATGTTGTTATCGTTTTGTTGGCCCTTGTATTTATTTTTTACTTAATTTGTACTTCATTGAGAAAGTGTATACTATATTATATAAATTCCTGGTGTAGGAGTCAATAATGTTATTGCAGTTTGTGCCGTTTATATCCAGTGCTGCATCATAGTTGAAATTTCTTCCTTTTTATTTCTGGCCCTTTGCTCTGCTTTCAATGTTATGCATTATATTATCACCCACGACGTACACTTTGAAATTCAGCTTCCTATCAAATACAATAAAAGATTGGAACCTCCTACCTCTAAATGTCATTCCCTTGATGAAATTCGTGGCAGAACCAGTAAAATGGTTCAAAAAAAAAAAGAAAATTGAGGGCATCCCGGTAGTTAGCATGTCTGTGTTGACATGAAGTATCATTTATATGCTCATACCCTGTAATAAATTTACTGTTAACAAGACGTTGACATTTTTCGAAATACACAGGATTTTTTATCCCATGAATAAATTAACCTTGCTACATTTGGCAAAACCTTTGGGAACTTTAGGTCCTAGATGCTCTTCAACTTCGTAATTTGTTTGGCTTTTTTGATTTGACAGTCCCTGACGAGTCGTTTGTAGATCAAAAGCGCGTTTGGAAGATTTCAAATTTTAATCCTGGTATCTATAATGAGTACATTTATACTTTACAAGTTGTAAGTAAGTATATTTAATTTACTGATGTTCAAATATCGCGAATCGATTAAGAAGACAAATCAAAGTTATAAACAAAAACTGAAGAAGTCGCATAAACTTCAAAAAGTGCGAGACTGGTTTCGTCGACAGGGTGAGCGTCCCCGAATAGACATGCATCACCCACCATGCGAACTAACACTCAGTCAAGATGTCACAACTTTCACAATCGGTAATATGACAAAATTAGCAGATACAGTTTAGGAGACTATTCTGGTATCTACTAAAGATCTGCGAAAACATATCGCTAGAAACATATCGCTAGAGAGTTGAAACAAAGATATAAGGTATTGATCAACCAATTCGTGATGGTGGCCTTAAGACTTATGAAGTGTCGACTTCAGTCGTTCTTCCTCATAACTCTTTTGGGGCAGTTTTTGTGTAAGGAACATACAATATAAACCTTGACACACATGTGATGTAACCATCGTATAGCTCATAAAAGATACCAGCCTAATCAGTTGGAATCTTGATGAAGTCTTTTTTCTACACAAGGAAATGCCTGTACCAAGTCCTGAATATGACAGTTGTTTTCCATTCGTTTGATGTGTGAGCTTTTGATTTTGCCATTTGATAAGGAACTTTCCGTTTTGAATTTTCCTTGGAGTTAGGTATTTTTGTTTTTTTTTTCTCTTTGAACTACAGAGGCAGGATTGTCTACATAAGAGTCTTCAGTGGCACCTGAATTAGAACAGTTAGAAGGTCAAATTTTATTACGAAAACATTGATAAACTGAATCAAGGGCATACGACACAGTTTTAGGGGAGGTAATTACGTCGCTAAAGTAAAGTGTTATTTTCAGGACGTCAAAATGTGACATGTCGGGAAAAGATATACATTTCACTGATTTTAAGGGCATACGATACAGTTACAGGGGAGATAATGACGTCGCTAGCGTAAAATGTTATGTTTCACGTCAAACTGTGACATATCGGGAAAAGATGCATGTTTCGACTGATTTTTATCATTCAGACTGATTTAACTTGAAAACGAGTTCATGGATCCCTCTTTTTAATAATGACATTTGGCTTGATTATGTATGAAGATTATGTGTGCCAATTTTTATGAACAATTCTCCGATGGATTTTTTTATATTAGATAAATATACAGGAAAAAATGCCGTGTTTTTACTAAAGTCATGAAAATGTGACAAAAACGAATTATTTCCAAAGCTTTGTAGTGAAGATATTCCGAATGTTGTTACAAAAATCCGCTTGCGTTTATCTTTTGAAACAAAAAAGTTCGGTATGTCTTTCTAAAGGATAGAAATGTCCAAGAAATCGAAATTTCAAGTAAATGTCTAAAATTTCGACCCAATTTATCTCGAAAAGTAGCACATGAATGTATATTTTTTATTACATATTTGAATTGTCTAGGTGAAAATTAGCTTGTATGCAAACTTTCATCAAAAATTCACCGTGGAACAAAACTGTATCATATGCCCTAGCTTAACCATAAGCTTGAAAACGAGAACGCGGGCATTGTTTTTGAGTGAGCTTTTCTCATCACTTGGCGTCCGTCGTCGTCGTCGTCGTCCGTCGTCGTTAGCTTTTACAAAAATCTTCTCCTCTGAAACCACTTGGCCAAATTAAACCAAACTTGACCACACTCATCATTTTGGGTATCTAGTTTAAAAAATGTGTCCGATGACCACACCAACCAACCAAGATGGCCGCCATGGCTAAAAATAGAACATAGGGGTAAAATGTAGATTTTGGCTTATATCTCTGAAACCAACGCATTTAGAGTAAATCTGACATAGGGTAAAACTGATTATCAGGTCAAGATCTATCTGCCCTGAAATGTTCAGACAAATCTGACAACCCGTTGTTGGGTTGCTGCCCCTGAATTGGTAATTTTAAGGAAATTTTGCAGTTTTTGGTTATTATCTTGAATATTATTATAGATAGAGATAAACTGTAAACAGCAATAATGTTCAGCAAAGTAAGATCTACAAATAAGTCAAATATGACCAAAATTGTCAGTCGACCCCTTTAGGAGTTATTGCCCTTTATAGTCAATTTTTAACAATTTTTCGTAAATTTTTGTAATCTTTTACAAAAATCTTCTTCTCTGAAAATACTAAGACAAATTTAACCATACTTGGCCTTAATCATTATAAGGGTATCTAGTTTAAAAAATGATGATGACCCCACCTTTCAACCATCATGGCCGACATGGTTTAAAATAGAACATAGGGGTAAAATGCAGTTTTTGGTTTATATCTCTGAAACTAAAGCATTTAGAGCAAATCTGACAGGTGGCAAAAATGTTCATCAGATTTGAATTTATCTGCCCTGAAATTTTCAGACGAATCCGACAACTCGTTGTTGGGTTGCTGCCCCTGAGTTAGTAATTTTACAGAAATTTTGCATTTTTTTGTTATTATCTTAGATATCATTATAATATCTAATATCTAATACTATTAATTATGATTTTAACCTTATTTTACATGATTTCCAAAGCATCAGTAAATACAGGTGAGCGACACATGCTCTTGAGAGCCTCTAGTTTTAATGACGTTTGGCTAAATAATGCAAGATTGATAATTATACGGCAAGGATTCTTCTTTAAAGAAGTTATTCCAAATGAATATTTATCTTTTGTAACAAAACGCCCAAAGGATACAAATGTAAAAAAATAAGAATTTTGGAGTAAACATCTAAAATTTCTACCCCATTTATCTCTTAATGTAACACATGAAGGTATATTTCTCATAATATGTTTGAATTGATCAGGTAAAAAATTGCTTGTATGCAACTTTTGTTAAGAAAATCAGTCGGATCAAAAAAACTGTATATATATCGTATGGTATATGAACCAAAACTGAATAAGGGCATACATACCCGGCGTTAGAAAACACTTATAGTTTCAACTGTAAGGTAGGTCAAGCAAATGTTAATAGTACTTATCATTACTTTTTATGCTGTAAATATACGAACTGATAATCTCAGTGTTGAAAGGCTAGTGATACAGTACACGAACATGTTTTACCACTCGGCCTGATACAATTAAACGAAATATATTTTAAATCTATTTAATTTTCTGTCTATAATAAGCCATATTTTTGTATATAAACAACTCTAATGTGTAATGCTAGTCGCTCGCGGCAATCGTCTAGACGATGCCCTACTGCCAGATTCGCTACTCCTTGCCATACGTATTGGCCGTGGAGGAAGCATGGCAGATGTGTCCAGTTTTTCATCACGTGAGATTACATAATGTCTGACATGGTGATGCTCGCCACTATGGGAATCGGTTTTACCATCACACTGTTTAGTCCTTACATAGACAGTTCCGCCAGGTCGTGGTACTTTCAACTCAAATGCGTTTTCCTCCTAGAAAAGATATTAGAAAATAAATGCAACAAACCACAAAAAAAACCCAGTTTATAAAAATTGATAAAAGCATTGCAAAACTTTTTAGATTTTTTGGTTTACAATGCTCTTCAACTTCATAACTGATTTGGTTTACCAACTTTTTTATGCCAGCACAACTAACAACTCGTCTTTAAGCAAAACGCGCGTCTACCGCCAATTTCTTCAGCTTCGTATCTTTGAGGAGCACCCTTCACTACCACATGTCGAAACTTGTTGGGCTTTTCATCAAGAAGGTGTGCAAGACTAATATAATGGCATATTTTCTGGGAATTTACTATGAAAGAAATGATTACCCTTCAAGACCACTCGAGATTACTCTTGGTATATAGTTTTCTATGTAGTGTTTCGTAAACTGTTGTTCGTCTCTCGTTTTTTCGTTTGTTTTTGTTTTTATTGTGCCTTTGGTATGTTCTGCATAACAGGAGATGCTTACCCTATCGACGCACCGTCTTGCTCCTTTTGCAATTCCCTCGGTTTTTGTTTGTTACCATGGTTTGTTTCATGTAAATCGAGTTTCGAGATTTGAACATCGGTAAACTACTGTCGCCTTTGTCTTATTTTTTCTTCTACTAGCTTATACGACTTTGGAATCGGCAGATTATGCATTAACAACCGGATATATCTACCCTTTCGATGCTTGGAGTTGTGATTCTGGCTTTTTTTACCCCTACCTGTCATTTTATAACCGTACCGAAACAAGGCTATATCACCGTCATATTTTGCAGTACTAGTATAATAAACATGTCATTTCCCCCTTAATAAATCAAGCAAAACGTACAATTCTTAAATCTATATAAATTAAAGTAGGAGAGAACCACCAAATAAGCATTGAAATAACCTTCTTCTTTACTTACAAGAAAAATGCAGATGACAATATAAGAAAAAGCCAGACACTATATCATGTTTAATGAAACACAAAACCAAATTAATATCAGGTATCTGGAACGACGAAAATATTCTGTTTTGCGTCTCTTGTATAGTGGGGCAGTATATGTGAAATAACGGGAATTATAGAAATAACAAAACAACAACAAAAAATAATAACAACAATAAACGAGTTGACTGTAAGGATAAGCTTTTGTTATTTGATGATACAAATAAGTTTATAATTTAAATTCCTAGCAATAAATCAATACATTAAAACAAGAATGAACAACAAAAAATGGAAAAACTCCAAACTAAGTATTTTTATTCTGTAAGTTAAGATTTAAGCAACTGGGAGGACTCTCGAACGTTTATGAAACTTTGCATGTAAACAGAGCATATGGTACACAATCCAAATATATAAAATTTGAAATCTGTGTTATTGAAATAGAATAATTTGATTTAGCCATTTCTAGAAAACCGGTTGGACAAAGGTTGAAAAAATGGTATGTATTTGTAGGAAACTTTTGTTGCACAATTCTATTGTTAACACCGTCTTTGATTTGCTATATAAACCAATTGCATGCGTTTATATGCAAAATCGAAAAAATAAAACTCGCCGTATGATACCGTCATGCTTATATTGGCGTTTTCTGTTTTGTGCGAGCTGTACACACGAGTCGACTACATACTTTAATAATGGTAACAAATCTTACACACATCATGACTTTGACGACCTCCCAGGGCTTTCAAAATAAATAAATAGATTAATTTTTCAAATGCAAGCATTTCGACGTCCTATATTTGCATAAAAAATTTCATAAAATCCACTAGGTATATCATATAAGCACCTCTTGCGTTCAGAATTTAGAGTTTATGGCAGATCAATTTAATCAGTTTGCGTTGTTTTTAGTTTTTTATATAAAAATAAGAAGATGTGGTATGATTGCCAATGATACAACTCTCCACAAGAGATCAAATGACATAGAAGTTTACAATTATAGGTCACCGTACGGCATTCAACAATGAGCAAAACCCATACCGCATATTGAGCTATAAAAGGCCCCGAAATGACAAAAATGTAAAACAATGCAAACGAGAATACCAGCGGCATGATTTATATACAAAACAAATATGATATATACAGCAACAACCAACAACCACAGAATTACAGAATCTTGACTTGGGACAGGTTTGTGTACTGTTGTCTTGTCGTTTTTCGTATACAATGGCGTTGTCAGTTTTTCCTCATCTTATAAGTTTTGAATTTTCCCTTGGTATCTTCCCCTCTTTTTTTGTCTGCACTCGGACGATTTAGAGATTGGCAAATTGCAAGGACTCTTGTCTAACGTTTCAGACCTTTTGTTTATCTGTCGGATTTTTTTCCAGATTTTTGTATCTTTGGGTTGTTTTACATTGACGTATATATAACCATATCGGATATTCTCCTTTTATTCAGAGAAGAAACAATTTGGAATATAATGCACTAACAACGATAGACCAGATGCGACATCAGATAATTAATGCACAATCCTTCTTTCAATTCCAGGTCATATCAATAAGTTTGTACTCAATTGATACTCAAAGAGCCTGTGCACCTGTGATCTAACACTTAGAACATACCTTTTCAAACTAATGATTAGTATTAATATCTAATCATCTATGATTGGCCTGCTTTTATAAATGCATTAAAGTTGAATAAGCATGTAATCAATAATATATAAGCTAAAAGTGTTAATGTATACATCCACTTCAAACATATTCAGTTCTAATGATACACAGGTATTACGAAATTGAAATTTTAACGTCAACATTCCCACAACCAAATGCATTAGAAGTGTCAATTTGACATTTGATTTGTACTCTCAGAGGTGGATAGCATAATGTATGTTATAAGTTTGGTTTAATATTACACCTTGATATTTTTTTGATAGAAAAGTAATTTAGCTAAAGACATTATTAGAAAAAAATATTTTACTTTACAATACTAACTCCCCGTTAATGGTACTACGATATTTTAAACATGATTTGAGGGCATGGCTTATTGCTTTTTAATGGTATATGAAATTAATGGTTATAGAAATAAGGAGATGTGGGATGATTGCCAATGATATTGCTTGTATTGAGTGGAAAACTACTGTATGTACATGTATATGATACAGATTTCAGCAAACACTTATGAATTGCTATAAAGCAAATTATTATGAATTACCTCTCTCTCATCTTTGATATAAAAGCGTTTTAGTTCTGCTAACAAAGGAGGACCTCTTGTAGTACTTGTAAACTGTGAGCAGAAATCTTTCAGTCTATCTTCTAGTGTTCTTAGATTGCTATCACTCGTTTCAAAATCGAAAAAATCGTCATTAGATAAACCATCTACCGTCGATTCTGTTCCATGGTCGGTTTGTTTCATATAATTTCTAAGTTCTTCTTTAGCTGATAGTGTGCATATAACATTGGAACGTGCTTCAGACTTTTCATGTTGTATTTGGTCCATTTGTTCGAATATTTGTGGTGAGTCGAAAGGTTTGGAAACATTGGTTGTGAATTCGCCATCTACTTCTGTGATAAAGAAACCGGTACTCCTTTCAGTGGCTGTTTTGGGTCTTTTTGTGGTACGTTCCTTTGGTCTTTCTGTACCTTTAATGCCTAAAGCCGTTCCAGGTCGAACGAAAGATCTTACTATTGTTGTTTCATGGCTGACTGGTACGTGTAAAAGTTCATTTTCTGCGTCCATTCTTTTTAACTGTTTGAGACTCCTTGGTATGGTTCTACGTTTTCTTACAGGATGCAAGCGTTCAGTAAGTTTTTTACTTTGTTCCATGTGTTTAGCCTTTCGTGCTGACATTTTCCGATAATACAAAGAATCTGGCACATAAGGTTCTATCAAAGGTCCTTTGCCTTGAAGAAATAATTCAATTAAAGTTTCCATGATCTTTGATTTATCTGTAGATACTGGTTTTCGTTGGTATTTTGACTCTGGTCTTTTTGGCAGTTTTTCATTCAACTTCTTTAAGGCACATTTAAGAAAAGGAATTTGGTCTCCTTTGTATGCATAAAGTCTATAATACATTTTTTGGGCTGCAGTTTGGCACATTTTTATGACTGTTTGTTGATTTTTCTTGGCAACTAGACGATCGTAATTTTTGGCATCCAGTACCATAGCAACAGTGTTTGCAGTACACGTTACCGTACTATAATTTGTTTCTAAATCAAGCACCATTTCTAAGTCACCTAATTAACCAAATTAAACAATTAGTGACATGCATAGAACATGTAATTTCAAATTTCCCTGAACTGTTTATGCCAAGAAGCAAATTTAAGTTGGAAAGAAATAAAATGAGACAACATGATGATTGATAAATAAATAAATCCTGTTTACCTTTTATCAAGGATTTTGCTTAAACCAACATTATATGTAAATTAACATGCACTAATTTTTACATCTAAAACATCTTAAGTATTTTGTGATAAAAATGTATTATATTCTTTGAAAGTATAATAAAATAATGAAAAAAGCTTTTGTTGAACTTGTCAACCAAACGTTTAATCTCGTGGTGTAATAAATTTGCTGTTTAACGGCACTAACAGAACTCTCGATAAAGTTTCAAAAAAAAAAATAATAGATTATGTCACGATGAAAACAAATACAAGGACAATGTTAACAGACCGGGCAAAACGGATGCCTCCGATATTTAGAATATGCTGAAATTCTGGTTTTTTTTACTAAACAGTGTTGGGTAAGTAAGGTCAAGGCAAGTTTGGTAGACAAGCCAAATTAACAAAACAGTGGAAGAAATTTAAATAGTATACTGTTCTATCGTAAAGCATACCTATAAGATCATTTTCCTCTATAGAACAAAGTTCTATTCTACTTTGGTTTCTATGTCTCTCCGCTGCAGCATATCCTTCCTTCCGTCGAATTTTGATCTGTTCCTGTGTCAGATCTTTTTCTTTCTTTTGTACCAGTTTATTATAATTTTCTCTGTAAAATATTTTTTAAAACTATAACACCTATCTATAACACGTACACAGAATAAACTAAGGGACATTCGAATCAATTCAGTAGGTATGCCAAATCAATTACAAAGTTGAAAGCATTAAAAACCACTTATTCCATAATATTTTGCCAAATACGGATAAGGTTTTTTGAGTACGAAGATCTAAGTGTTTCGAATGATTTAACATTTTATGAAACAGCATATTTATAGAAAAAAATATGGCATTTGTGATAGTCAGGAAACTCTAGCCTTTGCTAGTCTTGTGTGTGTTTTTTTTAGGTCTTTCCACTTTTCGTGGAAAGACCTTTTGCTTTTGTTCTGATTATTTTTTATTCTTCTGCCGTCTGAGATGCTTTTTTGTTTTAAGTCATATCGAAAGGATATTTGGCCAATGATGTCGTACAGTGATGGGGATTTCCCAATTTACCCTGTGTAACCGAACAGTTATTCTTATAGGAGTTATCTCCCTGCATCCCCTTTTTCTTGTTATCTTTATTTCTCTGAAACCGTAAAAGATATCAACAAACTTTTTTCACCAAATGTTCATCTACTCTAAAGAATGTTTTGGATAAGTTTAACCGAAGTGATTTGATCACATCTTATGAGAGTTATTTCCCTTTGAAAATTAAACATAAGTGATGTGTTGAAAAAATTCATACAGCATAAGTCATAGAGGCCTAAAGTCTTTTGATATGAAGTCCTTGGTCCATTTGGAGGAAATTGAGGTCAAGGTCAAAGGTCAAGGCCATGTTCTAATTTTGAATTTTGCTTGTTATCTTTATTCAAAAGAAACCGTAACAGTTAATGCTATGATGTGTTTGCCAAATAATTGTTTACGATAGGGCGCAACTTCAACCCATTTAAGTCGAAGTGTTTTGGTCACCCCTTATAAGAGTTTTCTCCCCTTATGTATTTGAAATCAGTATTACTCCTCAACCATACAAGTGAATGACCTGGGATGTTTTGATTTGAGATCACTGACCTATGACCTTGAAATTGAGATCTTTGCTAAAAATTTATAATGGTTAATTATAAAACCATTAGTTCTTTTGCATTTGGGTTTTAGACATTTGACCTTATAAAAGGTTAACCGGAAGTGACATAATTTCAACCGGAAGTAGCCTTTTTCATACCAATTCAATGAAAAAGTAACTAGAAATCTTATATTCTTAAAATTAGTTTGAAGTAACAAATTATATGAACCAGAAATGACATTTTATTTTTTTAAATTTAATTCTTTAGTGTGGCGTCTTTTTCGCTGAACTAGTATACATTATTCTTTAGGGACCAGCTTAAGGCCCCTCCTTTCCGGGTGAGTGATTTTCTCGCTGCGTTGAAGACCTATTGGTGGCCTTCGGCTGTTTTCTGGTATTTGGTCGGGTAGTAGTCTCTTTGACATGTTTCTATTTTCTATTCTTTATGTCAGAACAGAAATGCTGACTACTGGAAATACGTATACCCTTGGGAATGAAACGTCCACCAGCATTCCCATTGACTTAGTTATTATAAAAACATCAGTCGTATGAGTTAATGTGCGTTTCGTCTACAGCAGAATTGAAAACCCCAACTTGTTATGACCGAGATTGGTATTTCTTGGGGGAAGAAAAATCCTAGTGTTTCCAATGATTTTAATATTTTATGAATGTTATAATGCTATTTCATGTCAGCACAGTAGTACTTAAACAGTAACATCAAACGATGCTTTTTGCTTCGTTTAATTCTTTCATTTCCTTTCTACTAGTTGCAGTACGCATTACTATCACCTTAATTTAAACAAGGACATGATCTATAAAACTTTATCCTACCTCCCAAGTTCAGCTGCTACCGCGTTTACATCTAGTTTCATTAACTGCGGGTACTGTTGATGATGTAGTGCAGGTTGGACAGTTGATTTGGCTTGACCACTAAAAATAAATGATAAGGTACAACCACAGATCAATCCAAATTCCATTTCAATTGAACTGACTGTTCTTGAACACAAATTAAAGTTTATCAAAATGTATTCTGCAATCAGCACAGGAGGAAACAGTGTTCACCAAAAAAAAATTATACTACAATAACAGAACTAATAAGATGTATACGTATTCTTTAACAATAGTTTAATTACAGGTCAAAACGTTTTGTGTATTCTGTTTCCCAAAGACAAAGGCCACTATCTGCTACACTACTGAACCACTTGCCATGAACACTGAATTTCGTTTTATAAGAAGATAATGATTTTCTTCCCTTTCAAAACCAAAGTGAACGGATTGCATTTACTGGTAATTTTGTAAATAATGTCTATGCGGCACACGAAAACGGTTTTGACATACTTTAATTTACCCATAGAAATATTCGGTAACGGCTTTAATGGAAAGAGAAAAACTTAATGTTCCCATTTTGGAGTTGTTTGTTGGCAATCATGTCACATCTCCTTATTTTTTATATAAATACATTTTAATTGACAAAAAGGCTCTGGATATATATATATATATAGCAATAAACCGATATAGTAAAGTATTCACACTATAGGATATGGGTTTAAAATTAAGTTAAATCGTGCACTAAAAAATGCACATGCTTTTTAATCATCCTATAAAGTCACTGTCTGGAATTTTGATTGTAAAACTTTTAAAATGAAATGATAAATTAATTGATATGGGTTCAGTTAAATCTCATACTATGTAAATTTAAAAAGGAACTATCATCTCTGATTAGTATATTCAAGTAACGTGATTTAATTTCGTAACTAAGAAATACAGACACAAGTCTACAGTCATAAATAGGTGTTAAAATTGTATTCAGAGCAATTCAAAGAGATGAATATAAACAATACAGATGTAGACAATTCTATATGTGAACATAAAAAGGGAGAGGTCTTATATTGTAAATGTTACCTGTAAAATTTTTATACAAAAGAATGGAAAAAAATGAAAGACGTCAATAGATTCACAGCATGTTCAGAATATAATATAAGTATTTTATATATATAAATGCAAATGCACCATAACCACATTCACCTTAAATATAAAGTAAATAATAAGTTAAATAACATGCAATTATCCGTACATGTTAAACATGTTGCGTTTCACACTTTGACATTCGTATTTATTTTCTTCTTGAATAAGATTCATTTCAAGATGACATGTTTGCATTACTTGAACATTTATTTACCTTAGGATAAAGAAAAGACCAGAAACCGGTTCTCCTTGTCGAGCAATAACGGTACCAAAAGGGAACGTCTCTTTTCTTATGCTTAATTCCAATAACCTTTTAAATCTAGAGGTCCACGATCTGAAGAGAGGACATTTCTGTATAAAGTCTTCTCTTTCTTTATACTCTTCTTCTTGCTTTGCCTAAAATGCAAATTATATTTTAATATGGCGACTAAGAATATATTTTTTGAATGTCATATTGGACATTATCTTAAATATCTTGTACATGGACAAGAATGTAAATGCGTGATGCATTCATGACCACGCAAGTATCATAATTTTACTAAAAGTAATTTTGAGGGAACATAGAATTTTTCCATTCAGTTTAAATAGAAAGTCTTACATGAGGGTCTGGATAGGGGTCCTTCATTTCTTTATTTTCTTAGTTCTTATACAATTTTCTCTATTCTTTATTTATTTTTGCCATCATATTCTCTATTCTTAATATTTCAGCACCCCATAATTCTCTATTTTTGGGCGTTATTTTGCCCATTTGTCTCTATTCTGTATTTTGTTTGCCCTTTATTCTGCACCTTTTATCCATAGTTCTCTATTCTGTAAACCCCATCCAGACCATATTATATATATTAAATAACGTACTAAAACAGTAACATCCTATGCTTTTTCGTTATTTGCTTTACTTTTTGTTATAAGTGTTTAATTACGTAATATGCAAACAAAATCGCCACTTTATTCTAGCGACGTGACACAGAATATATATTTTCAATTTTCATGTGCAAATAACCTCAACTTGAGTACTTTTTATTTGAAAAAAAAATATTAACTATTTATTACCCGTTTATTACTTCCATCAAATTTCATTTTAAATGTCAAAATAATTATATCATTTAATCTAAAAGAAATATTTTTTTAATGCGCTTTCTAATTTGAAATTGACGCACGTCGTATTTACACAATGCAAGTTGTATTTCACAAATTGAAACAAGGTTTTATTTCAAACAAGTATTACCTTCATAGATCTATTAAATAACTCCCTGCTAACAACCAAGAGATCAGTTTCCTCATCGGCAATGACCGTAGCATTCCTTACAGCATCCTCACTCATCAGGGCTACTTCACCAAAACTCTTTCCTGCCTCTGTATATAAAATTAAATCATTTATATTCTGCTCAGGGATCCATACCAACGAACAGACGTAAACATCCACACAAAATCTTATTGTATCATCTAATAACTTGAACGGCTTACTGGGTAGATAAATTTAATATTTTGATTGAAATTTCTATATATATTATCTCTTGATATATCATCAATAGAATGAGTAATTTTATTATTTCCAGTATGTTATCAAGTGTATTGAATTTTTATACAGATAGTTAACTTGTTCAGAAATCCGAAAACTTTTGTAATTGGATTGGAATGGGACATATATAATCACAGTATAAAAGGAATTACATAAAAATATTAACTTTATTTCTCTTGATAGAAGATGTAATTTCTTTTTTTCTGAACTAAAAATACCTTATGGAATTAAAAAAAGATTTAATAGAACTATAATTCAATACATTGTGTAATTAAAAAACGATCTAAAACGGCTACGTAAGGGTACATTAGGAAACACATGTGAAATAAATTAAACACGGGTTTATGTAGTTGAAATAATGGGCCTTCGCGTGCTCAGGCCTTGTTGCACGTAACGATGACAGCAATGTTTAGCCTACACACCAAGTTCATGCTCTTTATTCATATAAATCATGAAGCATATTTTAAAAATGCCTTAATAATTTTCCTTTACACAAGTGTTTTATAATGGGAAGAGGGGGATGTTGTATATTAATTCATGACATAAATCCCTGCACGCACTAGACAGAAGAAAAAACAAACAAACGCGATACTGAATATTTCAAGCGTATTATTTTAGTCTACTTACCACATTCATGCTCTGTATTATTATAAATCATAAAGCATATTTCCAGTAAAAATGCCTTGATAATTTTCCTTTTCAAAAGTGTTTTATAATGCAGAATGGGGATGTTGTATTTAAATTCACGACATAAATTCCTTTCACGCACTTGACAGAACTCAAAACAATGACAGCGTTTTATTGTATACTGAACATTTCAAGTGTATTACGATATCTAGCAGCGAATCATTAACTTTATTGCTTTATTTAATGGTTAATTTATTACGACTTTCAAGAAATAGATTTTTGGTCATTACAGACCGTCATGATCATTGCACATTAAATCAATTGATTTAAATAAAAGAACAGCAAACCATGTTTTGTTGTTTTCTGTTGTTTTTTTTTTTATTTCTGTATTTGTTCGCTTTAGGTGTTTAAGGTTTAGTTTTGGCAGCATCTAATACGAAACTTTATTGAAAAGCACGTTATGCCCATATTGGCAAATGGCTTACAACAAACAAAAATATACATATATATATAATACAATAATACAATAATACATTACTGAAGTAATATTTCGTTTTTTAAGGCGGTACTGGTCTTAGCGATTTTATCTATGTATTCATAATCAATTTCATATGGTATTGTTTAAATAAAAGGGTCTTTTCTTATTTGTTGATTAATAATAAATTTGCGCCTGGTGTGCAAAACTTGAATTCTGGTATCTATGATGATGAGTTTGTTTATACTCAGGAAAGAAATTAAATTTATCTTCTGAGACGTTACAATGTATACGGATATACATTTGCTCATTTCAGCATATTCATTCATCAGAAGCGATTGTCAAAAATTGGGACATCCAAACAAAGTCATGTTTTATACATACGCTACATAGTTTTAAAATACCTTTAGAAAGCCATAAAAAGCTAGAATTTAAAGATGAATTGGGGTGTGTGCAATTATTTCCTCGTTCACGACAACTGTCACTGAATATGTTGTATACGTGCATATCGGATTTCCACCTGTGTGTCATGAGCAAGGCTGTCATTTATAGTATAGTAAACACTTTTCCTTTTATGAATCCTTTTATTTTATCTTTTTAAATTGTATCTTTCCCCGTAAATTAAAGTTGCGCACCAAAACGATTAATTCATGTAACAAAGGCAAGACGTATGGTCCATTTCCCCTGTATTTATTTCACGCACTGGGCAATAATGAGGAAGTTGTTAACGCCTACCGAAATTTTGAAATTAGAGTTAAGATAAATAACATTAAAAAATCAACAACTTTACATATATATTCAAGAAATCAATAGGTTATTTAGTGCGGAAACTTGTTCAACCGATTGTTGACGACGTTTTTGACACAATAATGTAAATTTTACATGTTTTTGCAAAATTTGCATTAAGAGAATCCTTAACAAATGCATTTATAATTTGGTAGCTTTTTAGAAATACTACAATATGTTGTCCTACACTGAAAGTGCACCAATTATGCTGTAATATTGTGAATTTTAGTAAAGACTGATTTTTTTTTAATACCACTAGTGTAAAAACAATTCAGTGGAATTGGTCCTTCTTGTTAAAAGGAAAACGTTTATGATCTGTCGATCTAATGTTAAAGTGTAGAGGACAAAACTGTAACCGTATCGGGGAAGCTATGTTCGGCAAATAAAGGTATATCAATATGTTCGAGAATTCTTCAAGATGCGCTTGGGAATTTCATGAATCTACAGTTGTAACAGAAAAAAAACATCTTTTTCTCACCGTAGTGTAGAATAAATTTTCCGTATTTCTTCCTATCCAATGTCTTCTTTTTTCCACTCTCTTCTTCGATCATCTTTTCAATTATTTCTTTCTCTGACATTTCCTCTACCACTGCAACATTTTCCTCGTCAGATTTCACCGTATCGATGTAAACGGATGTCGTCCCAGTAAGCATAATGAAAAACCTGAGAATTTCAACATGTTCTTCTCATAAATTTCATAAGTAATGACTTACATAGAGGTCTCTAAATGTATTTATATATTTTGATAACTTAATATATTGAAAGCGTTTATATTTTTCTTTTTTGTTTGGTGTCAGAAATGGGAATTTGTTGATACAAATTAATGGCTTTTTGGAAAACATGATTGGTTTTAGGTGAAAAGAAAATGTTTAACCTAGGTACCTTATAATTAAATGACAAAGTACCAGTACAAACATGATCAACGTGCATTTTGTTTTCTTTATTCTGAATTTCTCGTACTTTAAAAATACTAAGAAGCATATAATTTTCCCCTAAAGGTATGATTACGTCAAGTAAATTGCTAAGACATATGACGCTTGCTAAATTATTCATGTAAATAGAATATATTGCAAAAAGGATACTTTATTATTTTATTATTTCCTATCATTAGTTTTCTTTTCATTTTAAGTGTAAAACGTATTATTATGCGGATGCAATATCTTGTTCAAATTCAAAATCAATTCATAATCAAGCATACAAATCAAAACATAGATTTTTTTTTTGTGTATTCATAATTAACAGATTTTGTTAACAATTCGGTTCAGCGTAAATTTGTTAAAATACGATTATTTAAGAATAAAATCCTTACGACCGAAAATTTGGTTAACACTTAACGCTCACCTAGCAAAGTTATGCAACAATTAAACAATTAGCAATAGTGGCAGCCATCTTTCAATTAATTAAATTATTTGCAAGTCTTGGTTTGCTCATCATTTATAGACAATTACTCTCATAGTTTGCAGATTTATTCTTTATAGTTTACATTTTACTTTTGAAGGTAATAGCCAGAAATGCAAATGTTGGTAAAAAAAAATCGTGATTCAAGGGCAATAACTCCTATAAGGGGTCGTTTGACGATTCGTTCATGTCAAGGTATGCTTTCCTTATCTTACTGGTCATTTTTGATGCTACAGCCTCTTCAAAGACGGATTCAGGGGTGTCACCGGGTACACGTGACAACCGCTGAGGTTGGCAAAAAAATGCAAAATATAGAATATAATTTGAATTTTGATTTATTTTCCAAATAGTCCAACTTGTCATTCTACTTCCAATACAATAGTTTTACCTTAAGGCAAAACATGTAATTTGACATGTATTTTTATCCAATAAATTTATATTTACCGACCGTTAATTGCTAATTCGATTCCATTGATGTGGAGGTATGAACATGAAGAGTCAATTTTCAATTTAATTTATTAATAATTAAACGTTATATTTCCAGGTTTTTCCCGATCATTATTTTTTTTTGCCAACGCGATGTCAAAATCCGTTTTTTTTTTGGTCATTTGTTCTAATTATAATCAGCATCCTGAATCCTATACCACATCCTTTATAAATTTCTTTCAAATTTTGGGTTTTCATAAAAATAAGAAGATGTGGTATGATTGCCAATGAAACAACTCTCCACCAGAGACTCAATGACGTAGAAGTTAGCAACTATAGATCACCGTAAGGCTTTCAATAATGAGTAAATCCCATACCACATAATAAGCTATAAAAGGCCAAGAAATGACAAACGTAAAACAATTCAAACGAGAAACATAACGGCCTGATCTATGTAAAAACAATAAGCGGGAAAAAATATGATATATAACAACAAAACGACAACCACCGAATAAAGGACAGGCACTAAAGGAGTTTGGCGCTTCAAAACGTGATTGCGGGTGCCCAACACTCCTATTACCTGGGACAGTAGTGTAACGGCACAACAAAAGAACAAACTACATAAATCAAATGAACTTGAATGGCTTAACTAATCAGACCGATACAAAGCACAAAAACAACTAAAAAACAAATTTTTTACGCGTTTTCTTCAGGAAAAAACACAAATCAGTCCAAATCTAAATACCAACGAATCTTAATGGACACAGCATGTAATGCATGGCTCAAAAAACTGAAACTGTTGATTATTACAATTTTGACATGTAAATGGATTAGCACTGATGTAATTATGTTATTATTTACACTAAGACCTTGATATGATCGTTCATACGTTGCTTGCAGGTCAGTCACAGGCACAATTGAAAATATTTTTGTAATGAAAAATGGTAAAATAGGAGTTTTTGTTCGAGGATTCCACGACTCCCAGTCATTTCCACGTAGATACATGGTCTGACTTTTGTGGATAGGAATTTGTCTTTCGGTCAAAGATTCGGCCAAAAGAATTTGTTCCTGTAAATTTTATATAAAATTTATAAGAGTTAAACTGAAACCTTAAGCGAACTAAACATTATTGTTATACACATATGGCAATGTACATTCACGGTACTACAATCTGCCGATACCTATATTTTGGCATCGCACAAGGTCATGTTTTTCTCGGACTGTTAGTGACGTCTCTCAACTAAATCCATTGGATGTTGGATGTGTACTCATTGATATTTTGGTCTTATATACCACATTTTTTATATTAGTTATCGACTATGAACTAGCTGTCAGTAACTGCGAGTACTCTCAGATCTGTACTTTGTATATAGAAGATGTGGTATGAGTGCCAATGAGACAACTCTCCTTCCAAGTCAAAATTTATAAAAGTAAACCATTATAGGTCAAAGTACGGTCTTCAACACGGAGCCTTGGCTCACACCGAACAGCAAGCTATAAAGGGCTCCAAAAATTACTAGTGTAAAACCATTCAAACGGGAAAACCAACGGTCTAATCTATATAAAAAACGAGAAACGAGAAACACTTATGAACCACATCAACAAACGACAACTACTGAACATCAGATTCCTGACTTAGGACAGGTGCAAACAATTGCAGCGGGTTTAAACGTTTTAATGGTACCAAACCTTCACCCTTATCTGAAACAATAGTGTAACATCACAACATAGAAAGACACACTATAAAATATCAATTGAAATGGCTTAACTCAATCAAAAGACATATTTACACCAGTGAACATACACTGAACAAATAAATCTGATCTATGATACAATGTAAATACAAAATAAATAAACTAAGGGAAGAATAATTAAAGTAACATGTTATACCGCTGTGAAATGTTAAACAATTTAAGAAAAACAATATGTTTGTGTCTTTTTTGTTGTGAGGGATGTAGAAATACCCCGTCACGTCCAGTCTGTGTTTTGTTTAGATGTTTTTTTCTGCTTTGTATCGATCTGATGAGTTAAGCCCTTTTCAAATGATTTTATAGTTTGTTCTCATGTTGTACTGTAACTCAACTGTCCCAGCTTAGGGGAGGTAACCCGGTTGGTGCCTTCGAACATGTTTAACTCCACCACATTTTTTATGTGCCTGTCCCAAAGTCAAGAGCCTGTTGTTGAGTGGTTATCGTTGGTCCATGTCTGTCATATTTGTTTTTTGTAAATTTTTGTGTTATAAATTACTAGTAGGCGTTAGTTTTTTTTTCAATTGCATTGTTTCATACTTTTCATGTCGGGGCCTTTCATAGCCGACTATACGGTATGGGTTTTCTCATTGTTGAAGACCGTACGGTTGACTATAAGTTCTTACATCCACATCATTTGATCTTTCAAATTGGTGGATAGTTGTCTCATTGGCAATCATACCACATCTCCTTATTTTTAGATACGACGTACCTGTCACCTGTGTCGCCTTGCTTGATAACAACATCATCTCGACAAGCCTTCAGGTAATCACAGTTCCTAATCACATCCGTCAAGACAGCTGAAACAAAGTATTATTCAAGTAGCATGCTTAAACAACAAAAATCACAATACCACAATAATGGTTTTCTTATTTTGAATCATTACTCCTGTATATGTTGTCTAAGCCAGTTATTAGTTTGACTGGCAATTCATCCCTTATCTTCGTGATATATGTGATCGTTTTTGTACCAGTAATCACTGATTGAAAATTATAGAAGATTTGATTAGACCACGTCAATTTGAATCTCATTTTTGACCCTGAGGGAGTATTGGCCTTAATACTCGTTTAGTACCGAATTAAAGGATTTTTTGTGTTGATGAAACAATGCAGCAAACAAAGTCAAAATACATGATAAAAGCATAATTTGTGTTGCGTTGTCCTTATCATCTATGATTTATTAAAAAGTTGACAAAAATGCCAACTTTTACTACTTTTTTTTCTTAACATTTGCACTCAGAAAACATCTTTAGCATTTATGGACCAGCAAATTATTATAAGTAATATATCAGCTTATAAATTTTTGTGAGATATGAAATTGATCCGTGTATATGTGTACACTTTCTCACTTGAATTATCTTCCTTTTAACGTTACAACTGGTTTTGTAAAGTGCATATGTTATGACTACGTATTACTAGTAATGCCGCATTTGCGGGATCCTAGTCGACCTAATCGAGACCCTCAAGTATAGTCAAGTTCGTTTACCCGCCCCCTTGCAATATTTTGAATGACAATTGTATACTAACTTCATATAAAGTAAGCATTAAAATTGCACAGGTACTTGGGGAATGGACACCCCATTTTCGATTTTATTCATGTTTTTTTTTTTTTTTAGAAAATATTCTAAATATCTTATCTTATTTGTTTTATTTTTAATGTGTTCTTGCTCTTATTTAGGAAGACTGTTGGATGTTTTAGTGAGTTGCTGTTATACTGATGTATCATTTCTACATATCATTTTTGCGTGTTCGCATTTAGTAAGGATTTGTCACCTACGAAAAATATTCAAAGATAATTCTATAAAAGACTATAACGACATGCAGGATAATGAAAAAAAAATAAAATTTATTCTCTGCTCAACACAAAAAAAAAGGTTGAAATTATAGGGTCCTATATAAAACAGTCGTTTGTACCAAGGGATGGAAACTCGTAATGGAATTGTAAATTATTATCAAAAGTTTGTTTAATCATATATGCTTCCTTCTTGTTATTTATATATGCTTGTAATACAATGTTGCTTAGAGTTTTTTTGTACAAATCATAAAAGTTGATTTATATGACAATAAAATTTTGAATTTGAATTAAAATTACTGCTATCTCCTAAAGTAAACACCCATAAAATAATTACAACATGGCAAAACACTTTTCTTTTAACTTACCACTTTAGGTTGTTTATCAATAATTGCAGAAGTCCATTAGTAGGGTCCCTAGTAAAGGACTTCTGGTAATTGGTATAGTTATAGATATCTATGGATTGAGAGCAGAACTTAAACGTCTAGTCAAAGACAATGACATTAGCGGATCACTCTCATTTTCTGCTCTCTCTCAAGGCTTTTAAATATTTGTAAAGTACACTCCAAATTAAAAAAAATGTAATAAAAGTAGAAACAATCCATTTAAAGTAATAAATGTCACGATTTGAATATATTTAATGGAAGTTTAAGCATTTAAGGTATAATTTGTTTTAAATAACTGTGAAATAATGGTTTTATTGTTTCGTAAATGTTTTGTTTGCATTAAATTTATCTGATCGGTCGACTAGATAACGATACCAAAGAACTGTATACTTTGTCTTTGATCAACTGAAATTAAAGGGTTTTTTTTTCAGGTATCACAATTTCGATCAATAGTAGTTCAAAGACTCACTTACCAAACAAGAAATGATAGAAAAATGTGCAACGGATTGATAGATTGTTGGAGGTAGATTTTTAAGGATGTACTTAGGTGAGGTTTAGGAATTTTTGTCAAATTTTCGGACTCATTGGTTTTTTTCCTACGATACAGGGTAAAATATTTTGCCCCATAACACCCATTTTTCTTTTCATATAAGACTTCAATAGCTCATAAAAGGTCATTTACCAAAATTTAAGCAGATTCTAGATTTTTTTTTCTTTCGATTTGAGACCCAAATAATACCAATGCAAATATAAGCTAACAGTCCGAGTCAGCCTTTTCCCGCCATTTTTAACAAAATTAAATATCGCGAAAAGGAGCTCCATATTTTTAGCTTATTTTGTTCCTTACTATTGTTCTTCTGACTTAAAGTATCAATTTTGAATTCTAGATTTTTTTTAATTTCACATAAGTACATCCAGTAAGTCTCTTTTTAATTATTCTCAACTTTTAAAACCCAGGACGACTTAGAGCTTGACATGTTGTGTAAGACATCTGTCTAATGTCAAGGACTGTATGTTGACCTCTATGTGTCTTTTGATTAGTCACATGTCATCAGGTTGCTGTCTAGTTGATGATTACTCCACATTTCCTTTTATTCATTTTCAACTGGACAAACGGCCGTGCAAAAGTAAAAGCAAATAAAATAATATTGGAATTATGCTAGTGATCTTTTATTTTCTTTAAACTTTTAGTATGCTAAAGTAAATTAATTAATCGAACATAGTGTATGGATTTCTAGAATCTAAATATGCGGAGTAAAAAAAGTTATGCAACAAATATTTTGTAGTTGTATGTAAATTTCGATACTAAAAAACATATCTAAAAAAAAAATAAACGACTTTTTTGTTTAACCATAGCAATAAATGTATTAACAAAAATACCGAAATCCAAGGCAAATTCAAATAAAGAGAAGTCCATAAAACTTGACAAAAACAACGCTCAACAATATCAACCAACGGAAGGGATGGAAAACAACTGTCATATTCCGGACTTGGTACAGACATTTTCCGAAGATAATGGTTGGTTAAACCTAGTTTTATAGCCAGTAAAACCTCCCACTTGTATGACCGTTGTTATAAGTGTCGTTTTGTTTTTGGTTTTTTTTACAACATTTTGTGAGTAACCGAACAGACATTAATAGAGACTAGAGTATTGTAACAAAGAAAATGAACCTAGAAATGCAATTTTTATTGGCTAAAAACAAATATTTAAAATGCAATTTTTATAATTTAAAGTTTAGTTATTTAAATATATGTTGCTAAACTTTTCATACTCAGTATATTTGTGGAAGAAAATTGGTACAGTCCTGTCAACATTCATATTTATCATAAATACGTATTTTTACTGCGTTTTAATATTACGTAAACGTGCATCGATACAGGAGTTGATTCGAATTAATTGGCACTTGAGCATCTATGAAATTTCAAGTAAACACTTTAAAAAATTGCCCTGAAAGGAAATATCAAGGCTAATTATGAATAAATAAATCTCCAAAAGACTTAAGATTGTGGTAAGATCAATGTTTAACATCTTCTGGTTGGGTGCCCTTTAAACTTGTTGTGAACGGTTTCTTGCACAAATATTTGCTGTATAATCGAATTGAAAAGCGTTAACTAGGAAGAATCGATCCATTTTATAATTTAAGCAAATATTTAACACATATACCTACTTATAGTTGAAAATTATTCTATAAATGCAACTCTTTGGTCATTGTTTATGTTAGTGGGTCCCTTCGCTATGACTAACATCAACATTGTTTTTAACTTAAGTTTTCATTATAACTTATGAAATAGCCTGATTTAAGATTTCAAAATCTTTTAAGTTTTTAGTGTGACGTTTTTTATTCATCCGATTTTTCCTTGTTTTTTTCGTCTTGTTGTTCTTCAAAATCCTATCATTTATTGCCCCTCTTCCCCATGATATTTCCTTATTTCATAAGAGTTTTGAACATGACCCCTAGTAGATCCCATATAGTTAATAAGTTTTAAATAATTTCTTCTTCATCTTTGAAGAGAAAGAGTGGTAGCACTGATAAAGTCACCATTCTTCAAATTTGCGGTTACTTATAAAAAATAATTTCGTCTCCTTTATAGAAAAGAAATCTAGAAACTACATTCCAAGACCTTGATGTTTAATTTATTTTATCTGTAATTTCTTCGAGATCTCACGGTTATATATCTAAAATTGAGAATGGAAATGGGAAATGTGTCAAAGAGACAACAACCCGACCAAAGAGCAGAAAACAGCCCAAGGCCACCAATGGGTCTTCAACACAGCGAGAAAATCCAGCACCCGGAGGCGGGCTTCAGCTGGCCCCTAAACAAACATGTTTACTAGTTCAGTGAACGTGGACGTCACACTAAACGCCGAAACATATAAATGAACTAAAACTAAAAAATCATACAAGACTAACAGCTAGTTAATTTTGGCATAACGTGTGATTTTTAAAACATACGTGTTATATTTTACTGCTCTTTTGAAAATTTTCTAATTTTAAGAGAGAGAGAGAGAGAGAGAGAGAGAGAGAGAGAGAGAGAGAGAGAGAGAGAGAGAGACTGGTCTTTATTGATAAATAAGAGACTCCTGATTGAAATTCAAACTGTCAACAAAAAATACTAATTATTACCATCTTTATCAAATTGTATTAGTGAATGAAATGTGATGTAAAATACACATAAAAATAAACACTTTAGAAAAATGGTCTATCGCATCTATGTTATCAGTACTATAAACTCTGTTTTAACATGTAACATTCTGTATTACATCAGAAAAACACTTATCCCTTAAGAAATCTAGGGTTTGAGACTAATTTTCTTTCAAGAGGAAATGGATTATCTTAGACCCAAGTAGTCCTTTTATTTAGCTTGAATCCGAGGTAATTAATATGACAGGAACCCTTAAATCAGTTTATGAAGTTGTACTTTTAAGTCTAGAAATAAGGAGATTCGGTATAGGATTGACAACGAAACAATAATCAACAGAGACCAAATGACGTGCTGGTGTCAGTTTCCAAAACTATACAACAAGGCCTTCAATCATGAACAAAACACATACCGTGTAGTTAGCTCTAAGATGCCCGACATGACAAAATGTGAAACAAATAAAACGAGAAAAGCAACGGCCTGACAAATGAAACATTTATATACGAAAAAAGGAAAGACGACAGACAGTAACCAACGACAAACACCGAATTACAGACTACTTCTGACTTGAGACAGTCACATTAAGAATGTGTCCGGGTTAAACATGTGCGTTTGCGAGCTCAACCCACCCTAACCTGGTATAGCGGTGTAACATCACAACAAAAATACCAGTGAAAATCAGTGGGAAATGGATCAACTCTGCAGATTGGCACGAACCAACATGTTTTAGAAACAATTTGTCAACAACTATCAAATACTGTTATCAGAGATATATGCCTGGTATTATAAATAGGTATCAATGTTGTTAAATTTTGACTAAAGGAGTCATCTTGCCTGAAACGAGGTAAATAATTTGGCTTGAAATTTAAAATTATTTTGTGAGTTTACATTTTTTTCAGTAACATTTATATCATAAAACTATTTGAGGTCCTAGCTGGTTATATAGCTCTTCAACTGTTTCGATTCTTATACATCCTTGACTTTCAAATATTCGGCTTAGAGCGTTCCCGATGAAGGTAAATCCAGAAAAGCGCTTCGGACGCATACAATTTATAACGTGTTTCGTTTTAATTTTTTACAGCACTCGGTTATGGCAAGCCGTTTTCGTCAAAACTATGTTTAAACCATTTTTTCGAAAAAATTACACAATGAGATTTAAGAACCTTAAATAACACACTGAGAAATCGAAATTACACACTTAGATTTTAAAATTACACACTGAGATTTAAAAATATGAAAAACACACACTGAGAATTTAAAATTACACACTGAGATTTTTAAAAGACACACTGAGATGAAATAAATTTAAAAACACACACTGAGAATTGTTAATTACACAATGAGATTTCAAAAATACACACTGAGATTAATATGCAAATTACTAATGAATATTTATGAGATGAATAATTCAGCAGATTAATATCTTGGTCTCCCGAACTCATGTCATTATAATGAAATGCGGTTCCTACAACCAACATTCGTAATAAATTTCAAGACTTAACAATTTTTATTTAGCTAACTCGTATTCATAAGTTTGCTGCCTATAATTCAGATTATTACTAACAGTATATCGGGAGTTTTGCTTAAAACTGTTTGAGCATGGTCCCTTTTCAAAAGTCTTTCAACTGTTACCCTGATTTCGCAAGGTAATCTTTTATATTTTTGTTACGTATATATGCTATAATAGGCACTTGGGGAAAAAAATCACTGCATTGTTTGTATTTTTGGAGATTGTTCCAATGTTTTCTTATAATTTTAATAAAGTTTTACCATTTGGTTATATTTTGTAATGAAAGTAAGTGGGTATTTTTCTTGTTCTTTTGGTCTTTAATAACGTAGTTTTTCTATACGTTGTATTTTTAATGTTTTTTATAAAACATTTAGCGCCAAATTGAAGGACTAACGAGTTCTGTCCCCTAATTGTCTTAAGCTTGTAATAGATTCAGGTTAACGGTATGCTAATAAGATATGTGCGCATAAAAAGTGCACACAAATTTCAGTGTGTAATTTTAAATTCTCAGTGTGTAATTTCAAATTCTCAGTGTGTGTTTTTCAGTTTATTTCATCTCAGTGTGTCTTTTTGAAATCTCATTGTGTAATTTTCAATTCTCAGTGTGTAATTTTCAATTCTCAGTGTGTGTTTTTCATTTTTTGTAATCTCAGTGCGTTTTTATGAAATCTCAGTGTGTAAATTTTAATTCTCAATGTGTGTTTTTAGGTTTTTTAATCTCAGTGTGTTTTTTTTTAATTCTCAGTGTGTTTTTTTTTTTAATTCTCAGTGTTTAAATTTTTCGAAAAATGGTTTAAACATAGTTTTGACGAGAACGGCTTGCCATACTCGGTCGATACCTCTGCTGGTGGACTATCAGTCCCCGAGGGTATCATCCGTTCAGTAGTCTGACATGATTTATAACAAACCTGTCTAAAGTAGTCCGTTTATAAATTTTGAAATTAATAAGAAACTAAGGTTTCAACTCCCTCAGGCAAAATTGACCTTAGATGGATTTGGCTATTTTTTAGGTCCTTTTCAGTTATATAGCTCTTCAACTGTTCCGATTCTTATACATCCTTGGCTTTCAAATATTCGGTTTTGAGCGTTCCTGCTGAAGGCAAATCCAGAAAAGCGCTTCGGACGCATACAATTTATAACGTGTTTTTTTTCATTTTTTGAGCATTGTCTTCAGAAGAAGCCTATAATGTCTTCCAAGATGGAAACGTTTGTGCACCAAAGAATTTGTACTTGGGAAATCTTAAAAAAATTCACATGAACAATATAGGTATCTATTTACAAACGACGAAATGAAATATATTTTTCTCTGTTTAAATTCCTAACAATAACTCCGTTTCTATAATTTGTTCGACTTAATTGTAAATTTCAGATAAATGGCAAATATATTTTTGGTTGTCCAAGAGACTGCTTAATATCAATCACTGCACCGACATTAATCTATGATACATCTTTTATATTTCTTTTTTTCAATTTTATTACCTTTGTTGTCTGTACGTTAGCTATAATTAAGTTGAATATACGTTTTGGTCCATCTCTCACACATCAAAGTGGTTTTCAATGTGATATTACTAAATACAAATTGTTTACACTTGGGGCACTATGACCTTTGACATACGTCTATGTGACTTTGGTTAATTTTTGTGTTTAGAGTAATGTATCTGATAGCCATTACGATATCATAAGTGTTTCAAGTCATTATTTAACATTCGGTTCCTCTAGTACAGCATAAAGTATTTCCGGTATTTTGCTCGATTTAATGCTAGAGCCACTCTGGTTATTTCACTTTGAATTTAATATGAATAGAATTATATTTTCCTAATCCCGTCCTCGTATCTTCGATTGTGAATCATAGGCACTTGTCTCAGAAAAAAAATTCCTATATACCTTATATTAAGGTTTATAGGAATTCTTTTTTCTGAGACAAGTGCCTGTGTTGTGAATTCATCGAATACATACACACCATGAACTACACGACTTGTGCCACAAATGGACTGAGGTCAACCCCAGTTTTTTTTCAATTGCCCAGTCATTAGTTTTCTATGTAGTGTTTTGTGAGCTTAATTGTTTGTCTTTTCGTTGTCTTATGTTTTTGCAATGATATTTTTCGTATTCTATATACAATGTATATTTGTTTCATGACAGCTTATATATATAGTGGCAGATATATTGTCGATGTATTTCAGTTTCTTAGAGGATATGTTTGCTTCCATATCAATTTGAAATCGAAAAATAAGCAATTCCACTTTGACGATAACCCTACCATTTTTATAGATTACTTATCAGTACCACTCTTTAGAGTTATAAAAAATACAATTTACATTTTTTAACAGTTTATTTAGGAACCCTCATAATGTTTATTTCAGACAAAAGTATATGGCATCCATATAAAATATATCGCATTTATCAAGGTCTTTCCCATACGTCTGGAAAGACCTTATTGTTTTTCTAATTTTTATCTAGACATTGTTAAAGCTCTCTCTCTCTCTCTCTCTCTCTCGCTCTCTCTCTCTCTCTCTCTCTCTATAAAAAAACACATTTGACAGTTTGTTTTAAATTTGATTCTAAAACAAGTGCAACTGGCATTTGCTACTGAACTTAAGGCGCTTGAAAGGTTAAAATATTTAACAAATTTAACAAATTGAACAATCAACTACTTCATTAGAATCCAGAGTTTGAAAACAGAAAGAAAGAAAAAAGAAACGAGATGAACGAAAAACGTCCAAATATAGAGATTGGTATAGTGTTTATCGGCCTCGTAATCAAAAAAAAGAGAAGCATATTTTCAATTTTGAAATTAAAATAAAAGATAAAAATTGTATTTATAAAAATATTTCAAAATCTACTTCGAAAATGCTACAAATACTTACTATTATCCAGATCCTTTAGTAAATCACTTTTCCGTCTAAGCCAAGGTAAAACAACTTGTATGTCGCTCTCTCTCCTCAAAGAAGGTTTCTTTGAGATCAATTCCACAACCCGATGCTGAAGCTGCGCCATCCCAGCAGAATGATCCAGTCAATATTTTAGATAGTCTGATTATTGAATGTTTATACGTTAGAATAAAACTAATCCATTAAAAATCCATTAAATATGTTAAACTATCATTTTCCCTTAAGTTTATTTTGAAAATAAATATCTAATCACAGGATAGCTTTTCTAATATCTATAAACAAAGCACTTCACAGTCTATTCGTGAAGTGAAATTTTCTACCCTTTAAAGATCTGTTAACATTTCTTAATACGAGATCAGGTACGGAAGTTTTAAAACAAATATAGTATTGTGTTTGCTCTTCAGATTGGGGTGTGCTTTTACCATGGAAAGAAAAAAATATACCACAACCGCGCACCGGGTTGAGAGTGGTGCGTAACAATCGAAACCTGCATCTAAACGGTGAGAAAAGGATACACGTTTTGACATTTAAATGCAACAAAAGTATGAATTATTTTTCAATCACATTTACAAATTCACCAACAGGGAGTCATCGAATATACAATGAAATCGAAGGTCTTACATTGATATAGCATGTAATTATAGAAAAACTTTAATACGGGAATGTCAACTTTCAAAATATCAATACCTTTAAATGAGAACACATGTCATATTACAAATCCATTTCAATGAAAGGTAAATAATTGTTTAAATTGGAAATAGAAATGATAAGTGGAAAGTAGAAACCTCATTCACGCCTCTTTCTGTTTCATTTTTCTTCTCAAATTACGCATGGCTACTCAAAAAACTAAATTAGCTTAACGGTATTTTCACAATAAATACAAAGATATCAAATATGATAAATTTCATTTTAAACCAGTTTATTGGTTTTCTTGTCAGATTATCTATTAAAAATTGGTATCCGTTAAAACGAATTCCATTTTTCCATAAACATTTCATGCAATAAAAATTTGAACATTTACAAATTTATATAAGATCAAAGAACATATTTTACTTATCTTGCATGAAGCTTTTTCATACAAATTCGGGTATTCAATTTTGAGCTGACAAAAGGCTCTCTTGAATATTTCAATCAAGAAAATTTAATGTTACAAATATATGAATATTGTTATAATGATTTTCAAATATTCGACTTTTCAAGACGGACTTTTAGGTAGCATTTGGACAGTACATTGAGTTTAAGCCAGGTCATACCAAAAACTGTCAAAATTTAAGATTTTTGAAACGTAGAGATGCCGAAAAAGAAGGACCAGCAAACAATTGTTTTCCTTGAATATTATTCTATTTTTGAAAGTGCGTAAAAATTGGGGTATGGATACTAAGACACACTATATATTCCTTCTCTTGCCTAGTAAGCGAGTGAATATAATAAAATAATTATACTCCCAATGTCTCCAAAACTTGAAAAGGTGAATTTAATTTTTTTTTCATGGAAACGTAATGGTACGCTTATAAATAAATAAATACGGCAATAAAATGTATAAACAGTTTACGACTAAACTCAATAAAGATCCGTCTAAATCCGTTTATTTGAAAAAAATTTATTACACTAAAACGATTTCTCGTTTCTTATTGTCAAGTTTTTTGTGGACATTGATACTTTTTTAGCCTCTTCTGCAATAAAAATAATCTATGTACATGCATAACTGGTAAATTATTAAGGCAATGATTCCGTTACCAAATTAGATTTTTTCAAAGAAACAAATAATTGGTAAGGAAGATTGACTGTACTTGTAGAAATCTTAAAAAAGAGTAGAAAGGGATGTCACATCCCAATCTTTGGCTCACCTCCTTTAATATAGGAGTAACTGTCTAAATTTGTATTCTTAGGCTATTATCTTGAAAGCCATAATATCAAAAGACTGCAAAAAAAGAAAAAGACGAAATGATCAGCTTACAATAATCTACAACTAATTCGATAAGACCAAAATCGTAAGTCGATTCCTTATAGAAGTTATTGCACATAAATGACAAGTTTAACTATTCTTTACGAATTTGTCTATTATCTTGAAAGCTGTTATAGATAGAAACAAAATATTACAGCAAAATGACTACTAAAACAAAATTTACAAATATGTCACGATAACCAAAATTGTCAGAGCGACTCCTTATGAGGACTCTCAGGAAGTTAAGTTTTAACTAATGGGATTATCCTCTTGAAAAAAAGATTATTTATTTATCTTATTTATACATTTTATGTGTTAGTGTTAATCCTCTTTGTGCGTACTTGCACATGAGGCCACAACGCGACTCCTTATATTACCCTTCAATTGCAAGTGTTACTAATTTTTAGAATTTTTATCATAGTTTCGTGATTATCTTGACAAATTTAATAGAAAGAGAGAAATTTTAGGCAGCAAAAGTGATCAGATAGACAAGATATCTACAAGTCAGTCATGTGGCGGAAATTGTCAGTTAACTTCGTATCCTTTTCATGATGATTTTTACCCATTTTTGCGTTTGTGGTAAAAAAAACTAAAGTAGATACAGAAAAAATATACACAGTTAAAGTGATCAGCAAATTAATATCTACAAAAAAGTCAACATATCTGAAATCAACAATGACTCCTTATAGGAGTTATTTCCCTTAAATCAAAAATAAAGATTTTTACCCATGCATTGCCAATAAACCCTTATAGGAGTTATTTTACTTTAATGATAATTTAGTTTTTTCGCTTTCATCTTGAAAAGTATAGCAGGCCAAGAGAAATATAAACAGTTCAAATTAAAAGAAAAGATCTGCATAGGTCATGTCAACAAAAATCATCATTCGACTCCTCAGTATTTACTAGCCATTTTTGCATTTTTAGTTATCATATTGAAAAGTCCATTTGAAGTATAAAAAACCAAAAATAAATCAAACTTGGTCTCAAGATATCCATATAGCTAGCATTTATGGTGCATCAACTTCCTGTTTACCGAATACTTAAGTATATTTTCTAACACATAATGGTCATGTATGAAATATTCGTCATTTTTTTGTAGGGGAAATAAGAGCGTCTTGAAATTTGTTGTTAGGATTCTTGTGAACATACTTTACCGTGTGATATGTTCTCAGATTCATCACTCAATAAACTTCCTGTTTATCGAATTCTTAAAGCGGGCGTAAAGCTTACAGTTTACTTTTATGTTTTCATGCTAAATCAGTTTGTAAATCAGTACATTCCAGCAGCGCCTGCATATGGATCAAATATCTGCCAGTTGATACGATATGATATTCTAGAGCTTGCATTTCCTATCATGATTTCCTCGATAAAGGGTTGCTGTTTACAAGGAAGCTATTAAACCAAGAGTTCCAAGTGGTGAAGATAAAATCATTCCTTCGAAAATTTTAAGGACGCCATCACGAGTTGATTGACCGTTATGGAATATCTATTTCACAGATGACGACGGATTTGTTCCAATTGCCATAGCCACAATTCCGTCCTCTTTTCTTCGAATGTGACCTACCGAATTAGACTTATTACATGGATTTGTATTTACATGAGCAACACGACGAGTGCCATAACTGGAGCAGGATCTGCATAACCTTCCGGAGCACCTAAGATCACCCCAGTTTTTGGTGGGAATTATATTGCTCAACCTTTGATTTTCTATGTTGTGTGTTGTGTTCTGTTGCTTATCTTTTTGGTCGATTTTTGTTTGTTGCCATGACATTGTCAGTTTATTTTCGACTTGAGTTAGAATGTCCCTTTGGTATCTTTCGCCTCTCTTTTGAGGTATACTTATCAATATTTTAGTATGGGAAACTGTTTTATCTATTGATTAAATGTGATTTTTGAACTAGCGAACTGAGGTATTTATTATGAGTTAAGCCATTTTCAATTGATTTTTACAGTTCGCTCGCCCTAATGTTGTACTGTTACACCAAAAGTGTTTGCTTAAATCAGCCGGTTCAGCTGGCCCCTAAACAAATATGTATACTAGTTCAGTGATAATGGACGTCATACTAAACTCCAAATTATACACAAGAAACTAAAATTAAAAATGATACAAGACTAACAAAGGCCAGAGGCTCCTGACTTGGGACAGGCGCAAAAATGTGGCGGGGTTAAACATGTTTTTTGAGATCTCAACCCTCCCCTATACCTCTAGCCAATGTAGAAAAAACAAACGTACAACAGTACGCACAGTAAAACTCAGTTCAAGAGAAGTCCGAGTCCGATGTCAGAAAGTTATAGTATACTCGTAGTACTGCTTTCATTAACCATTTTTAGGTTTCATGCAGCTGACTCTTTATTGTATAAAAATTCGTGTACTTGACACACCTGAAGAACCGTTTTTAATACATTATGTCAGGATAGTTAATGATCGTATAAGTCAATTTGCTTTTACAGACTATATACTTTAAAGGTATTTTAACATTGATGGAAGATAATATTCAAGAAAAACCTGAAATCCGTTATTATCTGTTTGATCTGATTTTATCCTTATACAGACATCACAGAAATCAATAATGCAATGTCCATACCCAGAGTCTATTAACAACACGAGTTGCTTTGAAAAAAAATGATCAAAGTTTTTTAAATTAGTAACCGTAAATCATCGAATCAGTGATCCTAAAATCAATATCATCTGATTTTTCCTGATGGATTTACGTTTGCTATTTCTTTTATTTCATATTTTTTAGAAGAAAAAACTACTTTCTATATGCTCCACTGATTTTCATTATGATCCCCCTTAAATAACAAAATAAATAAAACCATATTTTTTTTACAACCCAAACCAAAATAAATAGCTTTAATTGAAAGTAACGTACAAAATAGTGACAAATTAAAAAAAACCAAACAAATATAGCATTCTAGGAATGTGGCCATAGATTACCATTTAGCATATAGATAATCGGTATGTAAATGGATGATCTCACGGATTTTGCAAGCAACTGGGGCATGCGGGGCTGCATACATAAATGCATAAACAGACTTATTCTGAAAGGATATAGTTACGATACTGTTGTCAAGTCATTAAGAATTGCATATTTTGGTATTAATATTGATTCACTCATAGGGTCTTTGCATCGGAAATATTCTAAAACCAGTTGTTGGCATGATACGGGTTATGTTCTTCTCATATATTTTATGATGGTATGATACTAAACCCCTAACTGGAGGGATTGTACTTGATTTGATGAAGACATAATATTTCAATCTGTTTAATTGAGATTTGGAGCTGGCATGTCAGTAACTGCTAGTAGTCCTTTGTTCATTTATGTATCATTGTCATTTTGCTTAGTTTCTTTTGTTACCTATTCTGACATCGGACTCGGACTTCTTTTAAACTGAGTTTTACTGTGCGTATTGCTATGTGTTTCTTTTTTCTACATTGACTAGAGTTATAGGGGGACGGTTGAGATCTCACAAAATATGTTTAACCCCGCCGCATTTTTGCGCCTGTCCCAAGTCAGGAGCTTCTGGCCTTTGTTAGTCTTGTATGTTTTTTTAATTTTAGTTCATTTATATGTTTTTGGAGTTTAGTGTGACGTCCATTTTCACTGAACT